TTTGCTTGAAAGTGACGGTTAGGGGCCACATTTTCTCTCTGTAAGAAGGGTGATGCTTTGTGTTCCACTATATTTTAGTTCATAATGCTGCATGAAATTTGTTTGCTTCTCCAAGAGGACTACAACACCAATTAAAACTGACTCATCCATGATTGCTGACAGTATCTATTAGATGTCCCCAGGGAGCGGATGTTCCAACTGTCCATAACCCCCTGCCAGTCTTGGCAATCCCCTACCAAAGCTGGTAAAATGCCCTACCAATCCCGATCATCCATTCATGCCTTGATTTGTTCCCATTCTGCCAAAGCTTTTAAGCCACTGGTGTTTACCTGTTGAAGCCTCCCTCTCCTCATTCCTCTCTTCCTCCCCCCCCCCCACATCTTTGGGTGGCTTTGCTGATACCAGGCAGGCACAAAAGGGAAGGTCAACAAGGCATATGACAATGGATGGAATTTCTTAACGAGATTTGTGCCTCCAGGAGCCCTCTGCTTTTATCTCATGTACTGTACATGAATGCACGGTGGTACAGAGTATTTTCTTTAAAAAAATTGCAAAAAGTTGTGACCTGTTTTGAAGCATGGATCAGGCCTGGATCCACTGTGGCTGTGTTCAAATTACCGTACATGTACCTGGCAACATGGTATGGTTGCATACATGTACATGTATATTTACAATGTACATCTATACTTGCATGTATGCATACATGTACATGTATGGTAGAGTTATTACCGGTAGTTCATTGGTCATCTTTAAGCCTTTTATTGTGAAAACAGAATAATGATAAATTTTCAGGCTATTCTTCCCAGTGCATAGTAGTGGCTATGACTTCCAAGTGACAGTTCCCTGCGAAGTGGTGTTAAATGTCATAAAATTGTCATTGTGTAGTCCCGGAAAGTCCTGGAAATCGGTTTTCATATTTTTGTGGGAATCCTGATTGTCACGTCTGTTATCAACTCCCAAAACCAATTACACATGTATTTTGTCCAGAAGTACAGTGTACATGTACATTTACCTGTACAATACTTGTACCCGCATGAAGAGTGAATAGCCTTCAGAGTACATGTACTTGTAAATTGGTGATTAGTACATGAAAAAACTTTTACTAAATCTAGAATCCAATTTTGCCCTGGTAATTTAGATGGTGTTATCAGTTTCTTGAAGAGAACTTTCAACTTTGATTCTGTTTGTTTCATGCGAATCCAGATCACTATCAGCGATCAGACATTGGTTTACTGAAACCAGAACCCAGCTTACAGATACCGGTAGAGCGATCCGGATCTTGGATCAGTGATCGAGATCAGATCTGTGTGAAAGAAATGGGGCCTCTTTCTCTTGTTACGGCAGTTTGGTGTCCCTTGGTTTTTCAGCTTGTTTTTCTCCCTCAGTCTTGCGGCGATGTACAGCGTTTTGTTGTGGCTTTTGGCAACATCCTGTATTCTCAGATCCAGTTCCATTATGCATTGCCTACCCATTGGGAATTGAAGCCTTGACAAAAAAAGTGTCTTGTCCCCTACCCTCCCACATACCAGGAGTGACAGAGGAGAATACTGGGCCTGCATCGTTGAGAGCAGTCATGTGAGGGATTGTTTTTTGGGGGAAGGGGGGGGGTCTTGGTGGCGAGTGCAGAAGATTCCATCAGGAGAACCGCTGTATCTGCATTGGGCCATTGTGTCGGTGCTGTGAGGGGGGTACTGTTGGAATGTGGGAGAATTCAAAAACATTGCTACATGTAGTGCCCGGTATGCACTGGTACTCCCAGAAGTTAGTCGGTCTACCAGCCATCATTCCATCTCCCCAGTGATTCCCTTTGCCATACATGTATGTCGTTCTGGGTGTGGTTCCTGGGTAAGAGGAGGACACATGCATGTACATGTTCCTGTAGGCTGAGATTTTTTAGAACTCAATTTCACGGTAAATCACTTGAAACAGAAGTTTACATTTACCACAAGCGGAGTACCGGTACAGTACATGTATACATGTACATGCTGCAGAAATGTCAGGAGGATCTATTTGAAAAGATGTTATTTGTAGAGTACTTTACACTCTGTATTGATGTGATGGCCTTGGTTTGAAGTAAATTCAAGATGAGTTACAGCAGCCAATCCGCAAATGATTTCAACCTTATCCAGCCAGTTGATGCTGGCCCTGAGCCAAGTCATGTGAGAGCATCTCCAATCAACCATCACTACTCTTTGGATTACACTAATGCTGCCATCAACTTGAGGGATGGAAGGCTTGCTGCGAGGGATGAGAGTCTGTCCTCAGAGCTCAAAGACAGTCTGACAACCCTGCTGACATCCGATCCAGATCTCTTAAAACCTGTCTTCAGCGCCGTGGCAGATACGCTTGTCTCCAAGATTCTGAATTCTCAAGCTGTTGACAGAATTGTGAGTTAGTCAGTAACAGATTTAGGGAGCACTGTCTCAGCATGGAGCTAGTAAAATATAGCTCCATGGTCTAAGAAACAGGTATTGCTTGACTTGAGTTTCTGTTATTTTGATTTCTCCCATATTTTTGTGATGTTCTATATTGTGTTTAACCTTCATTAGACAGTCTGAAGTGTTTGCATTTTTAAAATCAACCTGTACTTTTACACATGGATGTCACTTGCAGTACTTGTTCTGAAGAATTTGCCTTGAGCAGAAGTACCCCCTCATCAGTTGAATGTTGATGGCGAGTATTCATTGTATTGGCAGAAACTCAACTGTAATGTGTGCACGTCTAGTCGTTTGTGAACCAGCGAAGTCCAGTTCCCACCACAGGAGCCTCCATTGATATGAAAATTGCACCCTCTCTTTGGTCCTGCTTAGGACTCACTGGACTTGTACATGTACATGTTACACAATCAAGTGTGATTGCCATTCTTGGAACTACTGTACATGTATACATGTACATGTACATGTATGTGCGGTACATGCACTAAGTACCAAACGTGTCCACGAATGTAAACTCTACAGGTGCATACAGTACCTTAGGCAATTCAGTATCTTGATTCCCCCCAAATTTAGTTTTATCACCCTCTTTGGTTGGACAGTTTTTGCACGTGTACATGTAAATGTAATATCTTCTGAATCATTTATTTGCTGCAGTGAATCATTCAAAGTCCACTTATAACAATGGGAAATGTACATACATGTACATGTACAGTACTTGTATTCCAATATAATCCAGTATCTTGGAAGAAGGCTATGAAATATTCATATTGTGCAATCTACATGTAACTGTACATGTACATATTTGTACATGTATGTACATGTATTTTCAGCTTTTGAGTGGTTCCATCTACTGGTACAGTACGGTACATGCAATCTTAATTTTCCCACTGCATTTTTCATCACTGTAAATTCAAAAACCTACAGTAGACAGATGCATGTCTTTGAGAAATACATGTACATGTACTTGTAGCAATTCTTTCAGTTATTGATATGAAACATGCCACTTATAATCACAGTGTTTAATGGCAAGCATTTGAATTGAAATCTATCAAACTCCTTCAACTTCTGTGGGATAAGCATGTGCTGGTACACATAATTCCATTAGACCAGTTCCCTAGCTTGTTTTAAACCCTTCTTGGTCTTGGAAACTAAAATCACTGCTCAACCTTGCCAACTTTTTTTTTACACCCTTCATTGTTTTGGATGCCCAGCCACCCTCAAGGACGGCATTCCTGAAGGAACAAAGAGCACCATCTCAGCATAAAAGCATGAAAGCAGATCATGCAATGCAACTCCTCAGAAAATCACTCTGGGTGCTATCAGCACGGTGCCGGAATCACATACTGACACCTTGTTGTCACAATAAAAAAGAGATGGATTGCTGCTTTACCCATAATTTGGCAAGGTTTACAGTGGAGCTGTTTTGTGAATGAGAGGATTTCAAAGTGTTGTTCTTTTGTCCGGGGACAAACATGTTTACAGGTAGCTAGTAATGCTATGCTGGTAGTCCCATCCTTTTCACTGCATACAAATTCTAAGTAGTGGCCAAACCTAAACGGTTGACAACTTTTGATCCTTATGCTGTATAAAGTATGTACACTGTACATGTACCGGTATGCACAGGTATTTATGGTCCCTGATGAATAGACAAGAAGACGTCAAGATTTCTTTTAACATGTATGTGCACTTTCCAATGGCAGTGAGGTGGGACACGATCCACCACGCCCCCGTAGGATTCAAGCGCACATGTACTGGTATGTAAACAAAGTGTGAGGTTATGTTATTGATACAGCGAGCCAGTCTGCTGGTGGACATTCCAGCATTTTCACAGTACTGGACATACATACTAGTATATACATGCATGTATACATGTAAATGTCCAAGCATGTGCGAACATGTACATGTATGTGCACTGGCACTTGTACATGTGTGTCTGACCTTTGCTGATGTGCCCAGGTACAGATTCATAGTGATTGAGCTGTCAGAATACTCCTGGGAGTGGGCCAGAAACCAACCAGTGCATCCTGGAGCAGGGGGTCATTATATGCCACATCTTGTTGAGTAGTGAATTGGGCCAATCATACGGTAGAACGGTCCAACACATGGCAACCAATGAGGTCTTGGAAGTCATGAGCCTGTTGCCGGGCCTCGTACAATTATATTGAGTTACATCATGTACATACATTGTATATGTACATGCATGTACAGAGGTTGTACCAGTATATACCTTGAGTTTGTGTCACCACTTCAAAAGAAGTTGGAGCAGGTGGTCGGATGGTCCTTGTACTTGTGATAAACAAACCTAGACAGTATTGGTACTGGTATGCACACACTTGTCCATACTGGTACATTTGCACACATTTACAACCTACATGTGCATGTACCGGTAGCTACTTGTATACTCCATTTTACTGGTATCAGCACACCTTAGAACCATAAATTTCATGAGTCTCTTGCTCTTTAACGATTCCTAAGTGACAGTTTTGGACAAATTACGACGAACTGATTTTTGTTTGATGTGCATTCCATAAAAAAGAAATTGTTCCATTTTTCTTGGTATTTCAGGCTTTTACCGTTGACCTGTGCCACAAAGGCGCCAGTCCGGATCCTGAGGAAGCAGCTACCAGCATGGACCTCCTCTCAGACCAGACAATCCCAGATGACAAAGGCCAACTGGATAGCCTGAATAATCTGCCGATCCCAGCCAAGACTGCCTCTGACCTAAATGCCAACATGGAAACCAATGGAGCAGCTCAGGACCTCCTCATTAACTTTGGGGACAGTGCAGGTGATATTGATGCAAAACTAGTTGTTGCACCTCCGCCTGAGTTTGATACCAATTTTGACCCTCTGTTAGCCAATGTAGAGAGCAAACCTACTTGTAACTCGGAGCACAGTAACGGTGACTTACTGATGATGTCTATGGAGATTCCATCAGACAGTGCAGATCTGAGAAATCCTGATCAGAAAACTACTGGTAATCTAGATCGAACTGCTAGTGACCTGGAAAGGTTCCTCAATGAACTTGGGGAGGGCACAGCGGTTGACGAAGACCAGGATACCAATGTGGGCAGAACTCCAAGTGATATGGAGAGGCTTTTGAACCAGTTGGGAGACGGCACAGCCATTGATGAGATCGAGGAGTCTAGCCAGGAACTGGCTTCGGGTGACATGAATGGGACTGTGGATGGCTCAGGAGATGGGACAGGGATAGAGGACAACAATGAGAACACAAACAGGCCGCGAACACCAAGTGAAGTGGATAGGTTCCTGAACGAGTTAGGAGACGGTACAATCATAGATGATGAGGATAAAGGAGCTGACAAGGAACAAATTCCTAGTGATGTGGACAGGTTGTTGAATGAGCTAGGAGATGGGACAGTGATTGATGAGGTAGGTGACCCCATAAAGACAAGTGGGGTCGATGAAGGAGATGAACTGAATCCTTCTGAACAGGAGGGTGATGTACAAAAAATGGAAGAGGTTGTAGCTGAAGCGCCTAGTCAAGAGGAGAAATCCGCTCGGAATACCAATGAGGCTTGGGATCAGTTGGTCAGAGAAGGCAGCATTACAATGCAGGAGAATGTACCAGAGCAGTCTAGTAGTATGAGTGGCATTCCCTCTTCCCCGCTTGACAGTGGTGAAGAGGTAGACAAACCTGTCCCTGTCAGTGCAAATACTGAGGAGGAGGTTGTCAAAACGAATGTTGTGGATGCCGAGGCAGAGCCTGTGATCAGCCACCCAGGGATCAGACTTGATCGTGATGCCAAGCGACGAAGCTTTTTTGGAGAGGGAGACTCCATTGCCAAAGATTCCGCCTTCCAACCTAAAATGCCTGAACAGCCCTCTCCATCTTCACCAGTCTCTTCAATAAGCATATCCTCGGCTCTACCATCAGTGCCTGTTCTTCCCAAAGTGAATACTGCCTACCAAAGACCAAAGAACTTCTATGAGACAAAGCCTCGAGCAGCCACCGACAGTTTCGTTTCATCCCATGCTTTGCTGGGACTTGGTGGGGAACAGACCATATCTGCAGACACTAAATCCCGGAGTGCCAGTGAGCCTCCACCGAGCACCTCTACAACAGAAGTGGATCCACCTGCAGAAGCTATCACATTTCCCAGGTCAGAAGATACTTGCTTTGCCGCTGAGCCACCTTTAGAAGGCGTCATGTCTTCCCGGTCAGAAGATCCTGGAATTGCTGCTGAGCCACCTCCAGAAGCCATCACATCTTCTTGGTCAGTCAGCCCTGGAATTGCCGCTGAGCCACCTTTAGAAGCCATCACATCTCCCAGCTCAAAAGATCCTGGCATTGCTGCTGAACCTCCAGAAGTCATCACATCTCCCAGCTCAAAAGATTCTATCGTTACCACCAAGTCGACACAGTTCATCCGGGCATTGTATGGATCCAAGCCTGGAAGCAAGCCTTCTGACCTGGTTGATGAGGATGGTAAGACACTGCTTGAATATGAGCAAGAGAGAAGAGAAGTCTTGGCAGCTGTGAAGGTCAAGAGAAAAAAGAAAGTCAGCTGGCAAGGAGGCAGCAGTCAGTTCGAAAACCTGACCTCACCAGACAGTGAGGGGCCTCTCTCACCGACCGGAAAGAGCAGCATTGTCAAGCAAGAACCATCCCCACTAAGTCCAGTTTTTCTAGGCCACACCTCTCAGGGAAGTGCCATTAATTTTACAACACTTACACCAAAACCTTATAAGCCACTTGGACATAGGGTAGAGATCCCCTCAAATAAACCAAAAGAAGATACCTTTGTCCCTGACGTGACAAACTCGACTTTGCAATTATTGCCAGAGAAGCCACCGGATACTGACAGCAAGAGCCCACAGAGTGCTGCTTCAGTAAATGTAGCTTTGGTTGGATCACCTGCAAGCACAAAATCAGACGACAAAATGAGCAGTGTTGAATGTGCTCCAAAAGAGCTGGACACACCATGTCTGAGCAAAACGCCTTCTCAAGAACTTCAGGCTAAGATTTTTGAAGCTTCTTCCGAACCACCAGGTACTTCGAAGGTGCAACCAGCTGAAAGTAAACAGGAAGGTAATGATGAAGCTCCAATTGATTTGAAGAAGATGCGCAGCCTGTGGGAGCAAAAATCCACCATGGCATCTGCAATGGAAGCGGAGAGTCTGCATCTGAAGAAAAGTCATCCCAGAAGAATGTTCTCCTTTGAGGTAAAACTGAAAGAGGCAGCCAGAGAGAAAACGGCCCCAAAGCAAGCAGCACCTGAAGCAGAAGTTAGGGCAGACATTCCACTCGAAGATGACTCATCAGACATCATGCCAAAGGATCTGGATGATGACTATGATCGTTGCGACTCCTACACCTATGAAGTCATGCCACAGCGCAAAACTGCCATACTGAGCCACCGGACCTCAGAGAGCATTATTGCGAAAGAGATCCGGGAGCAAAAGGAAAGGGAACAAGAGTTGCTGAAAGAGGGACGCCTTAAAAGCACCACAGATCAGGATGAAGTTGACAAGGACATGCAGGTACATCTCATCAAACAGGAATCCATTGATGACAAAGAAGTTCGTCTGAACAAGAAGCAAAACACAGGCTGTATTGCAGAACTGCAAAAAGCACAGAAAGTACAAGAAAATGGAGGGTCCAGCATAGAAGGATTATGCTGTGAACCTGAGCAATCCAGTCTTCCAATCACTATAAGGTATGCAGAACAAAACAGCAAGGGCCCTCAGCTGATGGCTGAGCCAGAAGTTACACAGCAAACTATCCAAGTCCAGGAGACACTACCCAGAGGTCAGACAAGGTCGGCAAGCCCAGAGCCAGCAGTTGTCATAATTGATAAGGACAAGGCTGAGGCTTCTGAAACTCAGGAGGTGCCAAGACGGAAAGAATCCATTGTCCAGCGGGAGATCCGCCTGCAGAGGGAGCGGGAAGGAGAGAATGTGCTGGAGCGCCAGAGAGCATTGGAAGAAACCCGGACCCGCCGAGCCAGCTTGGAAGGAAGCTCCCACAGCTCATCTGGTCGCTCAACACCCATCAAAGGCCTACAAAGTCCGACCACATCAAGCAGTACATTTACTCCCATCAAGATTGCCTTAGCACCCGCTGGTCCTAAGAGTGCCCCTATCAAGCCTGCCTTAACACCAGTCAGTCCCAAGAGAGTTGACAGTCCCCTCATGACAGCAAAGCCCCCAGAGAAGCCTCCACTGGTCAGGTTTGGTCTCAGCTCCGTGGATTTGGAACCCTACAGCAGCTATCGGGAATACCAGAAGATGCTACGAGGGAGAAAAACTGGCGAGAAGTCCAGTGATAAGCCTGGACCGATGAAGGCAACAGAGGGCAGTGTTTCAGTTAAACAGTCGCCTGTGGGTGCTGCCGTTAAGGAAATCACAGCTAAAGAGGTATGTGTATATTTATGTTAATAATTTAGATATTCTCTGATAAAATTTTTATGGGGGAATTTAGGAAGTGCAACAAGAATTAAATTTTATTGAAGTCTGTGCATATCATTTTACCAGATTTTATTCTGTCAGGTACATGGACATGTAGCTTTCTAGCATCAGGGAATTTGTTTATACCAATAGGGAAATAACTTTAATAGAGGAATAAAAGTGCGAGGAGACAGATTTAAACGATTAGCAGTATGTTTAAAACTGCATAAGGACAACCATAGACCAAAAGTAAGGTATATTATCATCACTGATAACTTTTCTTCACCCACAGCAAGGACAGCAAAGGCCTCCTTCGCCAATTGTAGTCAGACCACCCTCGCCACTCTTGCGAAGACCTCCATCCCCAGCACCTCACCGAGTACCTTCCCCCGTTGAGGAGCCAAGCTCCCAAGACACAACGGACTCGGCACCCAGTAAGCCAGAAACTTTGGTCCAGAGGGAGATCAGGCTGGCCAAGGAGAGGGAAGCGGAACTCCAGAAGGAGCGGGCTTCCGCCAACCCAAGCACAGACCTGAAGAAAGCCTTCGATGCTGACATCTCTGAGGTGGTCCTCGTGGAGAAGACCCCGACCCTGGAGAGGTCAAAGGTTACTGAAATGGCACCGGTGACACCAAGGCCACAGGTCACCCAGAGTCCAAGGTCTGTGTCATCACCAGAGCAGGAGGTCGTTGTAATGCGAAGGGGGGGAGAGACGCCAATGGAGAGAGATATCCGATTGGCTGAGGAGAGGGAAACAATGCTTCGAAAGGAAAGAGGTAAAGTAGAACCCTGTTCTAAGAACTTCAAGAAGTTTTATCCCTAGTGTTAGAGTCCGAATTTTATTTTATCGTGTCCCGGCTTTGATTGCTCCGGAAAGTTGGGCGATTACTGTTCAAGAGGAAGCATGTCTACTAGTAAAACATAGAGGTAACATTGCATGCAACGTCAGCCATTGGCTTTTCTCAGTGACAAAAGTGTTGGGTTTTAGAAGATAACCATCTGTCACTGAGCAGTACCGCACCATAACAAAATTCTTACTGTATTTCTTGATTTGAGAACATAATGTTCATTAGGTGTAACTTAGGTGTGTGGAAACACTGATTAGTACCATTTGCTTTATCAGAGAATTATTTGCTAAGCTGTCGTTGCCAGCTACAGTATGCTTAAAACTCAAATGTCCTTGAAGGATCTCGTACTGATAACTTCTTTCAAATAGTCCATGGTACCAGTATATCATATTTTAAAGAAAGGACAATTAGTAGAAGTGGAACACAACTCACTTTGAGCAAGCACTTTGAAGTAAAATTGGGGCAGAGACTTCGAAGCTTCTCAGATCTGAACCCTTGAATATCGATTACATGTTTGAGGACGTACATGTGTACATCTATGGTGAGACGTGTGTCTCAGCTCTGAATGTGCTTTTGCCACCATACAGGTTTACCCCTCAAAGCTTCCATTAACACCACCGCCACTCAAGCTGGCCGTACTAAACCACCTGCCCAGCCCAGCCCCCGGCCCCTCCCCCCAAACTCCCCCGACTTCCCCGACTCGCCCGCCTACTACCTCAAAACTGTCAACTATTACATTGAGAAAGAGTTTGAGGAGGAGAGGCGACGCGAGCTGACCCTCAAAGGGGAGGGAAAAATCAGAACGCTGTCGGTGTGCGAGGACTTGGCGCCCCAGGACACAGGTTAGATGCAGCGATGTTGTCACATTCAGACAAGCATTGGGCATTGCATGTTTCGCACAGCCATCGTGTCATAGTCATACTGGTGCTTGTCACAATGGGTTTTACACCTTGGCACTCTTTCAAAGTGCATGCAATAGTTAGAGCAGTGAGATCTGTCCTGCAATGCATGAGAGTCCACAGACCTGCCCGTACAGTAGTAGCCAATAGTGGAGCTGAGCGGTGTACTCAGAAGAGGGAACTTCATCGCATACATTTACACACCCTTCTCATGCACGTGCATTATTGCAGTGCCAAAATCAACCGATGCCAGCTAGAGGTTGCGAACTCTTTTCATGCAGCATCTTTCCTTCGTGCAGGGACTGGTACCCCGCCCATACCGCGGACTGCCCTCATTCACCTCCAGTATGCAGTACAGCGCCCTCAGTAGTTGTTGGGCAGATGGCAATGCATACGTGTACACACCACTGCAGTCACAGCCTCATCAGCGCCTCTCCTCGGCATCCAGGAGTCATCACCGCCTTTGTTCGGATCGCACAAAAAACCACCAGCACTGCACAGCATGCAGCAGTCTTGTCGTGCAATCCTACATGTACATGTCTGAATAATTGTCACACGCTATTGCTGCTTCTGTGTGTGTCTCCTGTTCATGTATGCATGTTGAAGAACACCCCTTTAGTTTTTCCTTTGCATGAATCACTCATGTTATTTTTGTCACTTGCTGTCTTGTAACAGACCTGCATGTAGATGTATGTAGCTCTAGATAACAGACTGGGATGCAGTATGATGTCAAATAAAAGTGTGCCCTAAATGTACTGTACTGTACGTGGTGCATGTACATGGGCATCCTTCTACTCGTGTACATGTACTTTTGACTCACCTGAAGCTTGTGTTGCAGTTACCCGGTACATGGTACATGTACATGTCGTTACAGTACATTGCATATTATATGTACGGTACATGTACATGTACCAGGTACATGTAGCTAGCACTTGCATGTAGATATCCAGCTCAGTCGGGCTATATTGACCTGCATTAGTAAAGGGAATTTCATGGACCCTATTTCACTGAGCTGCTAAGCACAGGTACATGTACCGGTATGTGCCAAGCAATAGCAAGTGCGTCTAGCAGAAGAGAGGGTCACCAGCCAAAGTGCCACGCAAAGTATTGTACGTGAGATTGGTCCTCTGCTCATAGACAAAATTGGGCAGTGGGTACATTGTGACTTTACATCCAAAGACCTCGAGTGAAAGTACATGTACATTCAGTCTGCTAAATATTGTGAGGTATTTGCCCTTGATGGGTTTTTCTGAACAATGCATGTGCATGTACATGTAGTTGTAGCTTGCGTTGTTCTACTGCTACTAGAGGGCATCTTCAGTGGCCCATAATTGCGCTCCCACACATGTACATGTATTTGTGTCAGATCTCTGGATTAGGCATTACTGCATGGCAAGCTTATGTAAATGTAGGCTAAACAAAGGTCAGCAGTCTACCAGCCATGGACATGTATGCCATATCATCAGCACCGGTTACCAGTTAACACAATCTTGTTGGCCTTTAGCATCTTGTGTCATCACACTGCACTTCTAATTTGCACACAGAGGAAACTCTCAGTCCGGTGAAGCGATCACCCTACTCCCAAGCAGAGAGCCTCATCCAGCAGGAGATCCGCCTCCAGCAGGAGAGAGAGGACCAGTACCGGCGCGAGAAGGGTCTGATGTCACCTACCTCACCGAGGCTGACAGGAGACATGACAGACAGTACAATGCAGGGGGGTGCAGAGGGAGGGGAGATGGAGGAAACTTCACCGTCGAGTTCAGAGGTATGTTTCCTTAAAAACTGCCTTTGTTCGAATTTGATATCTTGGGGCTGTGTACTCTATGGAGATTACCCGTAGCCACAGTCAAGAGTGCCCATTTCAGACATGTCTCAACTCAGTTCAGTGATGTGCAGTTTATCAACTGCTTCCCCTTTGGATATCTCCACTTTAAGGTCATTGGAAAAGGGCATAAGAAGATCCTTATGAAAACGATGAATAAGATAGAATAATAATGTTACACAAAGCCCATAGGTAAGCTCAAACCTGAACAACATGTATCTGCACTTGAATGTTCATTAGAAATCCTCGGACAGGTATGTTATTTTTCAATTGCTGAAGCAGTGAACTGTAAGCTCAGCTGTCAAGGGTAATGATATTGTGAGGCTCGCTGGTCCTTTCTTTCTTGCAGAAACCAACGCCCAAGTACCGACCACAGAGGCGGAGCCTCATCATGGCACAGCAGTGGGAGGAGAAATTCAAGTAAACGTCCACGCTGCCAGGTCTCTTGTCGAAGTATTCAAACAAAGCCGAATTCCTGCCATCTGCAGAAAGGCAGACCTTTCCCACCAGTGGTAAACTTTCCCTATTGCCTGTACGTTAAAATCACTAAATTCCGAGACTCCAAGTCAAAGACTGGTAAGCACAAAACATTCAAGTCAGTAAACCTATGAAGAAGTACGTGTATGTATTAGAAGCTGTGAAACTCTGTTCATAGGAAATGGCTTTTCTCCTAACGGTAAGCTGAAATTCAGTTCAGGTGGACTACTAATGTGTGCGGTGCTGTTCATGTGAACATTAATGTACCTGTATTGAAATTGATTTATCAAAATTCATTCTATTAGCTGTGCTCGTGCTATTTTCTCATGTTAGGGGGTGACACAGCCATTTGTCCAACCCTGCAGTTCATCTGCAGGCTGCGGCTGTGCACCTATGTGCATTGAATCAGGGTCAGTATCATGGGGGCTGATTGTCAGCCGTTGTGCTAACGACAGTAGAGAAAAAGGGTGACTCCAAGAGCAGTATGAGTCTATGAGTGCCATTGCCTGCTCTGCCGGAGAGGTTAGTACACCCTTTCCTCAGATTTCTGCCTACAGACCCCGTAAAACGGGTGACGGGACATGTTCATTTACTGTCAGATCGTCCTCGGTTAGCACTGAAATGGAACTGGACACTGTGAACTGTGGCCCTTGAAGACTTGACTTGCTGTCCAGTGGTCTCGGGTTGGAATCCTCACTGAGTCTCTATTGTGTGCTTAAACTATTTTGTATCAATACTCATGTAAACTATTTTCAGTGTACCATCAGTTTTTCCCAAGATTCAGTTCACTTTTGATATTCTAATCAACTGCCTTGCAAAAACTGTTATAGAAAACGAACAGCATTGTATTTTGTTTTGCTAGTATTTAAAATACTCAAAGCATCACCACTAAAGCTTGATATGATTTCTACATATCTCTGTATGTTTGAGCTCTCTGTCTGTATATATTTGCTTATTTAAAAATAATAGTTTGCAAACAATTTTCATGGTTTTTTTCACTTGAATTGTTGCCTGTTTTTTGCATTGTATTCTGAAAGGTATCCATTTTGTATTCTGAAATCACTTACTATGCAACTTAACATAAACTGTACAAATCATAAAATCGTATATCTGATGAAACGATGTATTAAGGTTTTCATGGCGTATATGTATACATGTAACCTCATCAACTGCCTTAATTATCATTCATAAAACATCGGAGACAGTTCAGCCGTTCCTTTTGATGAAGAACCTTTCATGTGGTAGGTCTGAAATGGTTGATAAAATCCATGGCTGGCTGCATGGCATATCACGCAGTACGAGCTATGCGTAAAAGTGTTGAACAAAATCCTTGGAAATTTCTTAATTTTATGAAATTTGTTTTTACTTTGTGACTCAAAAGGCGTTTTAATGGAACACACATGTGTGGCAGGAGAATAGACGCTCGGTATCTCAGATGCTGGGAATGTCCCTCCCCTTCAGCTCGGGCATTATCAGCGTCCATTCATCTGCTCTGGTCTTAGTTAAGTTTAAGACCGGCCAAGCGCACTTTCATTCCCTTGTCAAACTCAAGCGCTATCCTCCAATTTCACAGATTGCGAAGCAGAAAATGTTGCTTAGATTGTTTTGCGAGCCCAAGCCATTATCAGCCATTAAGCAGACACACGCAGTTTGCACTGCATAGCATTTCAGTTCGTACCCTGTTTTCACTTAACAGTCTGAGCAGATTTTCTGTATCCAGTAGCTCTGTGAAGTTCACCCCCTGGCCTTGCTTGATTTTGAGTCACCAAGATTGCATATCAGGCTAAGTCTTGAGACATCAAATTTCCCTACTCGTGCCACTTGGCAAATTACAGTAATTGTAGATTTCATATTAAACGCTTCAATCACACTGTACTTTGTTGCCTTGCATACTCTACTTTTGTAAGTACATTACTGGGGCAGCAGCCCTGACTTTTGTTATTTATATCAACTTTGTACTTGTCTTGTTCAGAAAAACAAGCAAACTAAAGTACATGCCCTGTCCCACAGTACTTAAACAGACCTAGTTTTCACAGTACTTAAATGGACCTAGTTTTTGATATTTTTAATTTGTTTGCATATGTATTTGATAATGAATGGCAACAGAACGACAGCCTGAAGTATTCAACAGAGAAAATTTCATTCGTTTTGTTATAAGCGGGTTTAGTTGAGTCTACCCTGTAAAATGTTTCCCTGTTGAATCGTAAACTGATCAGGAGTTTAGTTACATGAGTAACTTAATGTGCTTGTCGAGAAAAGTTTCAAGTCTGCAAATTTTGTTGCTATCACATCGGTATTTGAACATTAATGTGGACCCAAACATGCTACTCTACCATTTGGTCGTTCCACTGCAGTTTTTGAATACCATTAGCACTTTTGTTAGACATGTATGTGTATATGTACATGTACTTTAAAGCAATTTGACTTGAAGATCAACTGAATAATGTGTGTGGAGCTTCTGCCATGGTTATAGTATTTTGTTTGCTTGTGGTCCTCCAAATGTAAATGGATTAGAACGATGGACTCTGATTAAGAAGCTAAATGTAATATAAACATAACAGTAGCCAATGGTATTTGTTACATTTCATAGTGCAAGTGTTGGTAGTTTCTTTCCAACTCGAAGGTTACATTTTTTTTTTTTAATACTTCAAATAGTTTTTTCAACACCATTATCATTGCTGTATTTCTGTTAACATATGCCAAGAAGCCGTATAAAAGAGCAAGACCATACTTTGTACTGTTACATTTCAGTTGATTACTTGTACTTTTAACACCCAGATGGCTTTATATTTTGTAGTATAATTGGAACTATTGTTTAAAGAGGTTGAGGCTGTTTTGGTAATTTGAGAAGCTAAATGTAAGCCTGATGGAAGCATGCCACGATTTCACCATGACAGCATTTAAATATCCGTATATGTTCTCCACAATTAACAAGTGTCAGCACATGATTATCCAAGACAGTTTGGTTTAAAGATGTATCAAATCTCTTGCGAAGGTGTACCCTGTGACATACTTATAGATCAGAATATTTGTTAGAACTTACAAGTGGAAATCTTTTGAGGGTTTCTGATCAAGATAGAACGAGATACTGTTGTGTTACTAATTCCAAAATCAAACATACATGTACGTGTACTTTAATTTTCTGTTGGTCTGCACATATTTCACGACAGTGTTGGTTATAGTGTGTGCTATTTTCCCCAGCCAAAAACTAAACAAAACGCAGAGAACTTCCAGGAAATTTCTTAATATAATAAGTTTTTGTTGTGTCAAATACGGATGGTTTTCGGTTGCCTTAAAACAACCAAAATTTGAATCTATCACTTGTAAAAACTAGAAGTGAGGGGTTTTTTTTGGGGGGGGAGTGGGTTATAGTCCAGTACTTCCTGCTTGTTCCTGCTTCAGTACTCTCTTAATAAATTATGTGAAGAAAAGTTTACTTACATCTGCGTGCTTTAACCTATACATGTAAATTGCCATCACTGCAAAGTAATGTTTTCGGTCTTTGACAAAAAACTTAGTGTACTGTATTTCATTTCCTTTGTTTGCAGTCATAAGCTCACTATTAAGCACGGCTTCCTTTGGCTCAAAGCTATTTATGCTTTTGGCTAAAAATATTAGCCAACCTAACTTGCAGTTTCTATTTAGCTGAAAAATTCTCTGCCATAATCATGCATTCTCTGTGGAGATTGGCTGTTGATCTGTTCCATAATACAACACAAGTATGCAATTTGTATAGAAAGGAAGTGCCTGTATCAAGGTAATAACCAGCCTACTTGACAAAATATTGTAACTATGGTGTGTGCTGTTTATATATACACTTGATATAGATCAAAACTGTACTAACGCCTACTACTGAACATTAAATTTATTAACAGAGTGAAAATATTAAAAACCTGAAAAGGATCAAGATGGACAGTTACTTGCAGTTGAGTGATTTGATTTGTGAGTAAAAGTTGTGACTTGAATAAAATGTAATTGAAATAGCACAGTACTCAGTTATCACTTCGCAAAAGAAGACTAGAGAATTTTATGGTGAATTTGAAGATAATAATTCTGGTAAGTGAAATTATGCTCCTAATAGTGAGAGAGATCCTTTTAGTTGGCCAGGTCATGGTAGGGTCTGATTTTATGTAGCGCTGATGGCTCTAAACGTTGAAGTCATCAAGTCAATGCATATGAATTTTACGACTGTTCGATCAAACCTTTAGGGTAGGTTTTATTAGTCACAGTTTTTTAGTCAATTGTAAAATAATTGGGGTAGAGTTCACTCGTATGAAAATTTGACATCAAGATTTCAACCAAGTTTTTTGTATTTTTTTCAGCTTCCAGTTTGGTTAAAAGTTGAAGTCGATATTTTTGTGCCTTATTTTAATGCCCGTGGTAAGTTAACTTGAAGGATTTTTTAATCGAGTACTGTTAATCGAGTACGAGTACTTTGATGCTCGAGTACAATTTTTGGATGTCGAGTTCTGAGTATTTTGTAGCCCGAGTACAAGAACTGTAGTCCGAGTACGAGTACTTGGATGTATGAGTATGAGTACTCTGAAAACGGTACTCGAGTAGAACTCGAGTATGAGTACCGAGTACGAGTACTACAACACTGTTAAAAGGTAGTATACACCATTTGCATTTGCTGTAAGTATTTCAAAAGGGCCAATTGATGTGCATGTAATTTTTCAAAACTGGTCAATTTAGGGGTTTTACTTGGTGTACCATTCAAGCGAGGTTGCTAATGCAATTTGCATATTCAGGAACAAATCATGAATTTTCAAAATACTGGAAACCAAAACAGCCCACTTGATTTTTACAGGAAGTCTCCACAAACTGAAGATACTCAATTCATCCTTTACTTTATTGCATACAAAATCATTCAATGGCTTTTGAAATGACAATTGTTTGCCACGAAAATTAATCCTGTATCTTTTCTTTCCTATGTAAAATCACTATAAAGTTACTGTTGGAAATGATTCACTGTCTACACAAATTCTGTAGTTGTTCTTTAAAGGGAAAGAGAACGCCCTTTTTTGTCCAAAAAGTGAAACCGTAAAGGGCGATTCTGTAGAGATGAAGTGCTACAAAATTAGCCCTTCAAGAATGGTCTCCAAACCCAAATCACTATGTGTAAAGCACGGCAGTCATTTTATACGTTCGCAGGGAAGCTCTTTTGATTCTTTCAAAATATTTACACTTTTCACAGGAACCAAGGGAAAGTTTTACCCTTCCCAAACAATGCGACCAAAAATATATGCAATTAGATAGGAATATCGCAATATTTTCATTAGCACAATTTGCTTGATTTGTTTTCATAAATGTATATACAGTAAAGCCCCATAAAACAAGCGTTAACCAGTTAACATCGGATTTTCTTACCCGGAAAAGCTGCTGAGGTGTTTTTTTTCGGCAAATTCTTCAAAATTGCAATTTATTTATGACGCAACCAAGCATGACGCATATAATGGAACAAATAAGGAAAACTGTGTATGTCAACACGTTATCTGGCGTCAAGTGGTTAAAGACGAAGAACGAATTGCTGGGCATTTCTACATTACTGCTCTTCCAAACTCAATTGGAAAGGATAACAAAATATGAAGATATCAATGCATTAACAGTCCTCAATTTTCGAATTTTAAAATTGCCCCAATAGGCTTTAATATGTCATGCGTACAATGATGTGTGTAAAAGGCATCAGTGCGAAAATAAGCGGGGAACCAAAAGCGCGCGCCATTTGTTTTGCACTACACTTCCCAGTTCAAAATGGCAGCCTGCTTCACTACCAAATGTAAGGGTGTGCTATAGATGATTCAATCAGACAAAATGACAAAGTGGTCCTCCACTAACAAACATGTAGACAAATATATTTGGCAGTAAACATACACAATAGTTTTTAAAATGCATATAATGCTGGTATAAAGAGGAGAATTTTTGGTAGGACATTAAGAACAGGTGCAATATAACATTTCGTGTCATCTTTAACATATGCAGAGCCCGATTTTGGACTTGGCTCCTCACGTTATCATGGTCCACATGTAATAGGCCACGGCGTTGACCACAATTTCCACCTGTCTATGCGTTGCCATGACCTGTTGACTGCTGGACACGCCGGCCTCGGCCGGCTCTTTTGGATCCTCACGGTACAGAGCAACGAGCTCCTGCAAGACAAAAGGTGAGTGACAGTTGCTAGAGACATCGGAGGCAAGACTCCTCACAGCATTAGAAAAAAGAATGGTAAAAAGCTTTTTGGCCACTGGAGCCAACTCACCGACATGTTGGCTTGTTTGTCTACCGTCAGCAGGACCATCATGTCAGTGTGGTTGGGGTTGACCAGGGCCAGATGGCTGACCAGTCTATCCTCACTGGTGAAGAATCTATGCAACAGAATATGAGGCAACAGTCCAATACTGCATCAGGTTACCTGACCAACGATGGCACTCCTCAGTTTGATTCGGGCAAAGGAGAAGTAACTGTGTAGCAACCCAGGGCAAAATGTGACTGTAAGACCGTGTCCAAATTAGCTGGGTCTTGAAATTACAATTCTTTGGGAAGAGGCTGCAGCCATGGGCGTAGACTCACGTGCGTATCAAGTGCGGTTGGTAAAATTTCAACACCTTTCATGGATTCATTAATCATAAAGTCATCCACCATTACAACTACATGAAATTTCCTAACCATTTTTTTTTTTTTTTGGTGGACTCAACATTTATTTCCATATTGCAATATTTCGAATTATACACAAGGTCAATAAATGAAAGACTTTTGACTACAAGAGTGAAAATAAACTAAGACATTGGAAAAAAGGGGGCAAATATAGAGGTTCTTAAAAGTACTAAACAAAGTGCCAGCTTAGTTGATGGACTCATTTTCACAGATTCAGAGAGCTTCCTAGAAAAAAAATGTGCTGAGGATTTTGAACCCACAAAACCAAAGGCTCCTTTTTTTCTGATTCCAGATTCCACACATGACTGAGGTAAACCTGATTGATCGCTTACCGAGTCATCATGCTAAACTTTGCCCTCAGGAATCGGAGCAGGCCATCGTACCAGGTGATACCATTACTGAGCAGGGGGACCAGTTTCTCGTCAATCTGTGTGAGGGGCACTTGGTGTACTGTATCCAGGAGGACCTTGAACTCTGGGTAGGTCATGCGCAGGATGTTCGGCTGTCAAAGCAGAACGTTACAAACATCAAATTACAGAGCCAGTGCTCTAAACTTCAGGACTCTTCTACGCATTTGAGACTCAATTTGCAGAACTCAAGAATAGTGATTATGATGGCAAATTTTGAATTGAGTTTTTAATATAAACTTAATAATCAAACACGGCATGGAATACTATGCCAGAGTTCTACTAATTGAGTTATCCAGCCCACTGTTGTTGATCTTTCATTTCATCTTGGTTCTCAGTTTGCTAGCCTAAAGATTTTTGTATCTGCGTTTGTCAAATCCACCCACCACATGCACTTTGATACCTGTGTTAGACAACAAACCACCAACACAACACTCTTCTTTGCTAATTATTAAAAAATGGCAACGCGCCAGCATGGCCGGCACTGAAAAAGAGACACACACAAGACAGCAAAGCCAGAATTTCCAAGTGCTAACATGGGGACATGAAAGGCACAAAACGAGAAACACTCAAGATGTTGCATCTAACGCAGCAGCGACTTCCACGTCAGCGGCTCTTTATGGACAGGTTTTGCGAGAGAAGATCTCTTGTTAGGCGAGGTGTAATGTTAAGCTCTATCAGCTAAGCCTGGCAACAATGCCATATATCATTCGGCACAAAGCAATCGACCTTTTGAGAGTGGTAGAACAAATCGTCGGGCACACCAACAGGCTTTACCCTACGGGAAAAGGGAGCATCCTGTTTGGGGAAAATGATCACTGTTAAGAGACAGACACTAGATCCTACAATTCAATTCCATTTTATCATTTTTTTTTAAATTCAAATCAGCAACTCCTTTCTGCATCTGTTGTCTGTTGAGAAATGTAACTGTTTACATTTTTAAGGCTGAGCATTTTGTAGTCAAAAGAATGCGAAGAAGACGAGGAGTGGATCACAACATGTTGACAGGCATTTCTTTGAAAAAGACAAACTTGGCTTATGGCTCTGTTCTGTGTCTTTGAGCAAGATGCTGTACCAACAACCCACCTGATGGTCTGTCGCAGCGAGATTTTCGAGATTTTTAGAAATATAAATTCAATTGACCAAGACCATACTTATGGACATTGTAAAGGGACAAAGACCAGTCCTCAGTGAGTGCGCATCATGTAGGCCTGGCAGACAGTGAAACCCTGGACAGGATGACTTCTCCTTCAAACTTACGTCCCTCTGCTCCTCTCCCTCTTTCTTCTTGGTCTTCCTCCCACTGGTGGAGGCAGCAGCTCCGCCCTCTTCGATGGTCTCGCCCTGCAGGAGTTGGCTCCACAGCGTGTCTCGTCGGCAGTTGTTGGCGGCCTGCCGCACTGTGTGGATGATTCTCTCCTTGGCTCGCTGTACCTCTTCCTTCAAGATCATGTAACTGTGTGTGTCTACATACATACAAATCCAAAACAGAAACAATAGATTTAATTTATAATCCTTTACAATTGCAAAACCAAAACCCAATAAGCAGAATAGCTAGTTCAGTGTTCAAAGACAACAGCACTTGCAGCAGCCATTTCAAGCAAACCAATTACTTTAAACCATAATCCACCCTTCTAAGTACAAATTTTCCAAAAGTGGAACACATTTTTTCCAAATGTGAGTGGGTCTTGACAGTGTTGAATATTAAGTAATTCCATCGTAATTTTGACTTTCTTTCTGTAGCAATAATCCAATAGTCTAATTTCTTAGGCTTAAATTCTGAGAGGCCGCAAACTCCAGCATAGGGGTGCATTTGGCCCACTGGCTAGGGCTTGTGACTCATGACTACAGCGTCTGGGGTCTGAGTTCACCTGCCCGCCCTATATTATACCCTTGGGCAAGCTTGCCCCTACTTGCTTCTCTTCACTCAGGAGTATACCTCGGTACCAGCATTAGCTGGGGAGCAGCCTTTTATGGACTGACATCTGAGCCGGGGGGGGTTGAAATAGTCTTGGTTGTTTCATGGTAAGGAAACCAGAGGTTAACACCTGCCCAATGAGCTAAATGGCTTGGAACAGATGTGCTTACAAACTTTGACAAGATTACGTTCCCAATCAAAGAAAAAAAAACCACTTCACATCTCCAACCCTCCCCCAATAAAATGGAGACGTACTCTCGCAAGGTGGGTTGTCTAGCTCTGTCAGGCTGTATCGTGACGACTTCCTCGCCCAGCCTTGATGGATGGGGTACAGCTCTCGCTTGCTGGTCACGATCACGTAGAAGCAGAGGTTCAGCAGGTTGGGGCTGGCGTCTGCTGCGGGGGCCGCCTCATGGGTCATCATGCCGGTGCCCGCGGGGTCAGGGGTCGTCGGGGTGGGCGAGTTGGGCCGGGTCTGGCTCTGGTACTCGCTCTTGTTCCAGCAGATGACCAGACTGCAGTCAAATTCATCCACTGCACGATTCCCTGATGGATGGCATAAACAGTTAACCCCATCACCGAGTTGAATGCCCTATTGAACAGAGTTTACTGACAGAAGAGGGGTTCGAACCTAAGACTTCCACAATACCATGCCAGTTAAGCATGCAATGCCTGTTAAACAAGTGTGTGGTTCACACTACCAAAAAGTTTTGCATCAATCTGGTAGAATCAAGTACACCAAGTAATCTTGCAATCACATTACAGAAAAAGAGACAAAAGTGTAATGCTCAGTTGTGGCTGTTTCAAAAGTAAGACTGCCACGTTGGTTACCTCCTTCAGTGTCAAACATTACCCTTTCAAATTACAAAAAGTCATATATCAGACCAAATAAGTATTTCATGAAGTGGTTACAGTTTTCAGAAAAACAAGGGGGTGAATTCCTTTTTAATCAAATCCTTTAACAACGGAATTGCAGATTCTGAACTCCCGAACGACTGACCACCAAACAATTGACCACTGCATTGTGGTTGAGGTTAGCCTTTCCACAAGACGTTCCGCTCGTTTCACATGACAGAAGGAGTCACCTTTGTTGTCTTTTAAGACCCTGAACTGGTGGCTGACGATGGCGTACTCCTCTTCCTCGCTCTCGGCAGTACCTTCCTGGGGGTTTGGACACAGGGCTATCGGTGGCTTGGCCATGCTGAGTCGCTTCATGTTGGTAGGATGGTGTTCCATCAGGTATTGGTACAGCAGAGGGGCAGGGGTGTTGTGGCTCAAGAATCCTTGCCGTTCTGGCGAGGAATACAACATTGTAAAAAAAAATCATCATTTCATAGGGCCTATTCTGTGGGGGATGGGTTTTTTTTTTAAATTGGGAAAAGCCTTTGAAAAGTGAAATTCTTTGAAAGCAAATTCAGATTTTATTTTAAACTGGATGGAGATGAATTGCTGATATTTCAACTGAGAAAGGCTTCTCACATTGCAAAGGGGATTTCCAACACAGCCATGTGGGCAGGTTGCAAAACAGTCATGGTCATAATGGACAGGTGACAATGGACACCTGACCAAAATGGACATCTGGCCACTCTATGCAGGTGGCCTCTATGTACCACTCGCAATTAACAGCCAGGTAGCTTTCAAATGGCACACACAATATACAAGCAGCAGACAGATCACTACAGTAATATATAGGAAGTCAAAATGCGAAAACAATGAGCAGAGAATGACTTGTCATGTTCGGAATGCACTACCCTCGTGAACGTGGTTACGACAGAACTTGGGCCTGGGCGTGTAGAACTTGACAAAGTCTGCCAGGAAGCTGGTGACGTGGTAGCGGGACTTGAACCCCATCTGGGGCCGATGGAAGTAGGCCTGGACGGTGCGCAGGTGGAAATCATGGGCGAAGGAGTGGATATGGATCAGGTCCTTGTACTGGTCGCAGTCATCCGTAAATAACTTGGCAAGCTGACGATTACCAAAAAAAGGCATCAGTTTTACTCATGGACTGATTGGGTTTCTAACCATACCATCATAAGCACAGGCTGTTACAAGGTAAGAGAGAAGTTAAGAGAACTGAGATCAGAAACGAAATTTCATTACATGCTGAGAGAAAAACAAATGGCAAAAACTCAATGTTCATTCATATATGTGTGTCAGACCCGTTAACAAGTTTTATGTGTTGATTATCAACCAAACTAGTAGTCGGGAACTCTCAAAGCAAAGATATTCATTCAGACACAATCCACTGCCCTCAAAGCCAGTCAATATTTGTATATTTCACCCACTGACGAGATAAACTATTATCATCCTTTAACTGTAAGGCCTGAAACTCTAGGAGTAGCAATAAGAAATCAGCCTGCTACCAAGTAAAGCACAGATACTCATTTAGACATGATCTATTGCCCTCACAACCAGTCAATATTTGTATATTACACCCACTGACAAGATCAACCACTATCATCCTTTCACGACAAGGCCTGAAAATCTAGGACCTGCAATGACATATCAGCCTGCTATCTAGCAAAGCACAGATACTCATTCAGGTGTGATCTATTGCCCTCACAGTCAGTCAATATTTGTATATTAGACCCACTAATAGGACCCACCTGTTGATTAATGTCCTCCCCAGCTGGTACTCGAGAACTCTCAAAGGCAAAGATCTTCACACAGAAGTAAGCATGCTAACAACAGAACACAGGTCATAATCATTGGAAATAGTTTCACTCTGGGAAACTATCACATCAAAGCACAAGTACCAAAAACGGGGAAATATCTTTCAACAAGCTCTGTAAGAGCTGTAAGTAGGTGCGCTCAAAAGTCTGTGCTTTTAAACAAACATTTTACGCTGTTAATAATAAACAAGAGTTAAAATCAAGTTAACATCTTAAGAAATCTGCAAATCCAACGTTTTCTTTTTGGAAGGCTCCATGTACTATTACACAGCATATAACAATAACACAGAAGTGATTGCGCATATTGAAACACATATTGTTTAGGTGCGGGACACAGAAATTTGGGTTGAAATTAAATTCTGCTCTGAGCAGGTATTGCGACAAGGACATGTCCCTACCTGGAATGAAAGCTCTATGAGAATGATGCCACCGGCGGAGGTCACCTGCAGATGCTGTGATGCGGACGCTGTGGTGGAGGACTTCCTGTGGACAGGACTCTGGCTCCGTATGGGCTCCTTATGCCGGACTGTTTTGATCCTACAGAAGAAAAAAAATACAAAATATATAAATACTCTAAAAAATATGTCAGACCCCAGGGAATGGTAGTTGGCGAAGATAAAGAATGCACTTACATCTGTCTGGGCGACGACACTTTGGTCTCCACTGGTGTCAGGCCCAACTTCTGTAGACACTGCACGTACTGCTGCAGGAAGGAGGACCGGAGGTCCATATGCCAGGCCTCCTCGGCCGCAGTTCCACCCACGGGGGGCGAAGGGGCAGACTGGCCGGCGTCATCTGAACCGACGCCCATGACCAGGTGGCGCCAGAGCGTACTGAAGAGCAGGGGGGTGGCACAGTAGTGAACGATACGGGAGGACAGCTTCAAAAGGTCTAGGGTCTCCCTCTGCCGAACACCAAAGTTGAAAAGACTTGAACTGTATGAGTGAATCTGTGACAATTTGGACCTGCTCTATCAAAATGAGGACTATGCCTTGTGCCCTGTTTTGAATAAACACTTTCACTCACCACGCAAGACTGAGTCGGCTTTTAAGTCTGAAAGGCTCATTTTGTTTTGACATACACTACTGATTCACATGCACTAAAGAGTATGTGATGTGTTTATGTTTTTTAAAGACCAAATCTGTTAACTGTTAACAGTTCAAATTCTTTTTTCTTGATTTTACTTAAAAGTATTATCCGCACAGCAGACAAGGCATTGGGTTTCCCTTTGTTACTTTCACATCACATCCTCCCATAATGTTAGCCCACACAATACCCAAGAGGACCTTTTCTGACAACAGCTAAAAGCCTGAGGACAAGAACATATCTTCTTGTGTCGCTCTCCTCAAAATAAACGGTTTTGCATGTCAGTGCGCCAGCAACTGAAGGAAGGAGCGTGACTTTTGACTTACAGCGACTGGTTGGGTCGTCTGGGTGCCTCTCTTCTGCCAAGTCAAGTACAGGTTCTCTAGTTTCTTCAGCATCTCGGTTTCTGTAAAGGGCGGAGCATCAACAAAACAAGATGTTGGAATTGTAGGAATTTCAGAGAGCCACTTAGAGGAAAACGTAAAAAAAAAAGTTATGCGCTAAGTTAGAAATTGGTAAGTACCAGTCACAAGATGGGTACAAGGCATGATATTTAAGGTGGCAACCTATATTTGATGAGTAAATCTTGTCTTTGCTTAGCAAATTGCTGTGCTCAGCCAACTCCTTGAAACTGGTCCCCCAGATCTCACCTTTCTTAGCGACGACACAGCCTTCCAACATATGCGCTCCTTGCCTAACCACAGGGTCCTTGGCCACCCCGTAGTTGCTCCGGTGGAGGGGACGCCTGACTTTGGCGTTGCGAAGGGTCTCGTCGAAGGGCGGCAGGCTGCGGTGGAGACGGCGGGCCGACTTGGGGGCGGTGACTGGCATCCGTGATAAGAACTCCCTCTGGGGTGGGACGGTGTACTTGACCAGTGACTCGATCTCCTCCAGGGAACGACAGAATGGATTCCCTTTCTATTTCACAGACAAAGGGAAACACAAAAAGAGGAAGTCTATTTTTTTAAGTCAAGCATCTTTCCACAACAAGGCATCTAATTCTGCCAAATCTTTGGTCCATTTTCAAGAATCTAGTGAGTAGAAATTACATATGCTGTTTAACAGATTTACATGCTATGCAAAGAGCCGAGAACCAGTCATGAACCATTATCACTGCATGATATTTTAGCTCGAAACCTAGTTTTGCTAAGCTTATAATTCCTACATCTAATATGTTTCTCTGTTCAGAAACACCAAATTTGTCCCTGGACATTCCATTGAGACGTATACGAAAAATCAGCAGTTCAAGTTGGCACAATGGTACCAACCTGTTTCTCCCTTCCAAGCATCTGTGGGTTCAAAACTTACCTAGGGCTTAGTGAGGTTTGTTTCAAACCATTTGAAACTTTGACATATTTTCAAGTATTTGAAATTATACTTTCAAGTCACACAATCTTCTTCCAACAAAGTTTTTGCTGGCCCAGTGCTGACGTGTCACATTGTTGCTCCCGAGATTTACATGGATCACAGCCAAAAATTGTAACAAATTAAAACTCCTGAAATGCTTGAAGGTTAAACTTACCAACTTGTTCTTGCCAAAGTAGGTGTGATTGAAGAGCCCCATCTTCTGACTGACGAGACAGTCCAGAAGATGGGAGCGCGAGTTATGCCACATGACCAGGCGGTGAAGCATGGTCTTTAGGCTGTCCATCAGCTCACTGGACCAGTTGTAAACAAACAGCGTAATCTAGGAAAATGAAAATGAAAACACAAAAGCGCATCAAAGGTTTTGTAGGTATAGATTGACCTTAGGGCAATAGATGCTTAGAGATGAGCTGGAAATCAATGTTTACACACCTCAAGCCAATCAAGAGAAGGACAAGAAATTGACTACACTGGAGCTAGAACCCGAGACCCCTAGATAATCATTTAAGTGTGTAACCACTAAATAAAATGACTTGGGAAGTGATGATTACAAGCTGGACAGTGTAATTACGTGATGGAGATGAAGTTTGGAGAACTTGGCTTAAACAGACGCAGCAAAGTATAAAAATCACCAGCAGTGACCAGGCCCATCAGTAAACTAGAAGTCTAGTGGTCTGAAGTTAAAATCTACATCCACGCAAACCAGAATCGAAAAATGGCCCTCAACCCAACTTCTTGCATTACTGCACAGACAGTTTTGTACCAGTCCCACTGGTGGTTGACAAAACGTTGAACGGTCAGTTGGTCACAGTTGTGAACCACATCCAGCCGACCAAGAACCACGTAGAGGCCCTGAAACTCATCTCCTTGGTTTGATGGGGTTCAACTCCACACAAAGTCAAACCTGAACGGTTGCACTTACCTTGTACCCCTCGGCGTCAAGAACTAGCCTGTGCTATCTAGCAACGGGGATTCCAATCTACATCAACTTAATAAAAAGCCACGCCAAAGCCTTATCAGTCTTTACCTTCTTGTCGATGACTTGCATCAGGAGGAGACGCTGTCTGGGCACCAGGTGGAGGCCCTGAGATCGTCCCATCAGACTGGTCAGGGGGTTCAAATCCCTCTCACTCAACTTCTCTGAGGAACTGTAGCTGTTCAGATCCAGGGGCTTGAAACGCTGGTAGCTCTTATGTGCTGCCAAAATAAATAAAATGGAAACTTGTAATGACTGTTAGTATCAGCTGGTTGTGTTTTCTTCATGCATGGCATAAGATGTTATGCTTGTGAAAAGGATGAACAATTAGAAAGGTTGAAAAAACTTTTGAAACACATTTTTTTCAGACTCTTTCGAGTGCTGGAAATTTGAACACATTGAATATTTACAAGATGGGTTGACCAACGAGGGCACGTCCACCAGATCTTCTGGGGAAGGGTTATCCAAGCTGTAACGCCACTGACGGATGTTCCGACCGATCAGCACATAATTCTCCGATTTCCCTGGCAACAGTTTTTTGAAGCTGGCTTTAGCCAACGGGGTCTGGTCTTTGGTCAATTTTTCCTGGGACTTGCTCTCCTGACAAAGCAATCAACAGAGAATAAACAAGATGCTTTTAAGATGGCAATAAAATGACATAAATAAAAGCATTCAATGTTGAATTTGTACCAGACACAGACATTTATACAAGTTCAAAATTGCCTCACAAAGCACTTGTACGAACTGGAGTTTCAATACACAGGATTTTGATTATCAATGAGAATGTAGCTACTGATACAAAGATCAGTTTGCATAATAATCCTTATATTTCAGTTTATTTCTCTGAATTGAAAAAGGCAGCATAGAATAAAATCTTAACCGAGCCACATAACTGATCAGGCCCCCGTTTATCTCAAGTTTCCTTGGAAACAACTGAGAATATTTCTGTCTCCCCCTCCCCATGTGATGCCAGTCCATTGCAGGTTGCTCCCCAGCTAATGCTGGTACCCATGTATACTCCTGGGTTGTGAGAGGAGAACAAGTTGAAGTGGCTTGCGGCCTGCAGCTGGATTCAAACCCCTGACTTTCTGTTTGGACATTACAGACCTTACAGAACCACTAGACCACACTTTCCTTACTTAAAAACCAACTGACTTCAAATTTTCTGTTTAAGAAAAAGCCAACCTTTGGGTCTGCGGTAGCCCACAGCTGGTAATGGGTTCCATCGTCTCTGTACACCTTGGTTGTCAGGTCAGCGCATATGGATGGCAGCTTAGTTAGAAGCTCGTTGACGACTGGTCCCAGAGAAAATCGGCTGGAGAGTTCCTCCGTGACTTTGTGAATGGTAGGGACATCTGAATTGATGTACAAAGAGCAAGGGAATTCAGTAAGTCTCTTTAAAACTTGGTGCTGGGAAAAGGACTGTAGATAATTTCATTCCTTAGAAACAACACAGACAACATGACCTGGAGGAAGGTTATTTTTCAAAATGTGGGTTTTTTTTTTTCTCATTTGAAATTTGTGGACATTGACAATGTTAGAGAGTCATTTCTGGATGAATTTCTGGGCAATGGTGCTGGTGTGTATTCTTTACTCCAGTGTGAACTATTTCCCATTATGTGGGAACAAACTCAAGTTCTCCATACTTGCCACTTTTGTAGTGACCCACGCCTGGGCTGTCTTAAGTTTCAAGCAGGGTAAAATCTTGACAACGTCAAAGCTTTCCAATGTTACATACAGGGAGAAGATGAAGCAAAATACAAATATAAAAAGTCATGTAATGGAGGAACGACGACCTACCGAGGCTGTGTTCGTAGTCCATCCATGTGAATCCCACGTCCCTGAAGAATGTGTGCAGCATGCCTACTTTCCCCTCCTCCGCGTCGCGCTGGCGCTGTCTCAGGGCTTCGTCTTGACGCCGCTCCAACTCCTGGGCCTGCCAACCCGGCATATCCCTGGTCATATGTCCACTCTCCTTGGTCTGATGAAGTACATCAAAAAATTTAGAGAGCTTCTGCAGGAAAGAATCTTGTTACAGTAACAATAAATTAACATTGTGCAAAAATACCGCAAAACTTTGTATCACACTCTTTTGAGGCACCAAGGTAGCAAACTTTATAAAGTCAAAATCTAATCCTTATAAAAAAAAACCTCAGTGTCCTTTTCACTTTGAGCCTTTCTTTTGCCATTTCTGACGGACATACAGCTAGGGTCAGAGATACCAACCATGAAAGTCCAAGCTGTGGAAGTTTCTGTATTTGTACAGACTTTTTTGATTGCCCACAAGGGTTTGAAAAAAAGGAGGAAATTAACAGACCTAAGAAAAGAAAACGCTGCATGCACACCAATGCAAATGTACACATTCATGAATTAACAAGTGATATCAACCTAGGCCGTGGTGCAAGTCTTATAAGCTACATGAGCACAGCACGACAACAGAATGATTGCATATTTTCAGTGGTCAATTCTCAGTGTGCTAGCCGCTGTGCGGAAAAACCCCTTACAGGCACAGGTGAGAGAGGCTAAAGGGGACCATGTCAGCAGGGCGCCAGGCACAGCACGTCCGATCCTGCCCCATGTACACCAGCCTAGGTCCCCACAAAAGGGAAACTGATTATTATATTCCGATTCACGCTCGAAGCAGATACCTATCATGCTGACTTAGAGTACAGCAACCAGACAAGGAGCAAATATTGGCCGTTTTCCAATACTCAACTTCGGCTCTGTCTCAGGCTTCAACTGTTTTTTACTAGCTAACTTTGAAGCTGTAAGCGCAGTAATCAGTCTAATAGTGCCACAGAACATCAAATAAGATGCAAGAAAGCCAAAAATTACAGTAATCCAATGGAATTTAAACACTTCAGGCCCACAATCTGGGATTGGTTTTGGGAACGAAGCCTGAGACGGAGACAAAGTTGAGTATTGGAAAACAGCCTTTGAGTAACACACTGCGGTGACAGGTTACATTTTAACATTTGCAATTTTTTTCTGGAGGAAAAATAAGAACCTACAAACCTTGGGACTTGGGTCCTTGGCCTTGATCTTGACCGGCGTTGAGGGCTGGGATCCCGAGGAGCAGCTCTTCTCCTCCTTCTGCTCCAGGCTGCGCTGCTTCTTGACACGAGACATGCCGTCGCTGTTAGTAATGCTGGATGACACTGACTGAGATCGCTGTAACACGGAGAGAGTTGCATCAAACAGGTACAAATACATGTATCTGTAACTCAGACAAGTTGGGAAACTAATTTGTTTCCTTGATATCACATAAATTTAAATAAAATTATGGACTTTCTTAAACAGGTATCTAGAGCCATGAAAAACGAAAAGTTTTCACATCAAATACTGCTGTGTTTACTAGGCTACAGTGAAAATCAAATCATGTTTTCCATGTTTTTTTTTACCTGGTGGCTTTTTCAGCGAGTCAGTGTTCCTAAATATATTAATACAAGTAGTCATTTCTGCAGGGCTGCGTTCGAGTCAAAAGTCTAATCATGAGACTCTAACAACAACAAAAATACTGGGACAACCGGCTGCATTTCTCCGACCAGTTGTACCCTTACTCCAGCTGCAAGTCCCCTGACATTAAAAAGAGTTTTTCAAAATTCAGAATTTGCAATGGGCCACAAGCGCAACAAAGAGGGCGCTCTTTCTCAGCAACGAAGACTCTTTTAGTCAGAACAGAACTTTGCTGGTTTACGAACGACTAGGAAATGCATGCGTCATGGTTGCATCGCTACCAACAAAATGAACACTCCCAACCAATGTGGCTCTTTTCAACTGATGAGGGGGTGCTTCTGCTCGAGGCGGATAGGGCATAGGTTTAATGCCAGACTAGAATGTATTCTTCCAGTTTTGGCGCTCAAAATGACCTTCCGTGTATTTTCACTACAACTGCCACAGTCTTGCAAGCACACTGCATTTTAGCGTTACATGCACTGCTTCCAAGGCGGTAAAATCCAAGTAAGTCACAGCACAGTTATAAAATCGAGTCTTAACCTGTAAAACGGAAAAATGTAATTAGTTATGTACACATCTGTCTAACTAGAGGGTAACAAAAGATGAAAGGAAAGTGAAAACTAAAGGATGTCAGTACTGTCTGAATGCTATATTACGGTACAACTGCACACATTATCTCATAATGAATGTAATGTTAAAAAGCAAGCACCATGGTGATATTGGTGTAAGGATGGAACAGCCATGGTACATTCACATTAGAACAACTTAGAACTTGTTGTCTGGTGATAGTTTTGGGGTTGTGGTACCACAGCATGCATCCGCTGCTTAAACTAAAACAAAGAAACAAATTTATTTAATTCATTATGCAGAAACTTGGATGCAGAGATAAAGTGCATAGGACGCTCCCTGATGGCTGAATACATGCAGATGTTCAACAACTCTTAGTTCAAATGGAAGGCCCCATGACTGCCACCTGTACGTTCAGACATATTGTGAGATACATCGGTTGCACCAGTAAAAAGACAAGAATGTCTTCTTTGGCTTTCATCTTTGACGACTGAATAAGAATTTTTTTTCCAGGGTGGTGAAAATGGCATTTCATTCTCTGGCCAATCAACACTCAAGGATTTTTTGGCTACCAAAAGCTACCAAAAACTGAGATGGCAACAACGACGAGGGAAAAATGACCAAAATGATCAAATGAATTGTTTGCATTTGCAGCATGCACTTTGGCGAGATAATCTCCACGATGCATTGCAAATTGAGGTCAAAGGTTACCTGGTGCGAGGACCAGAAGGAGAAGAAACTGGTAAAGGGACTTTCCGGTGCAGGGCCCGGTGAAACCCTCTGGGAAGGAGGTTTAAATTAAACACACAAAAGTTACTACAGCGGTACCATTTAAACCTCCACCGACCAAGAATATACAGGTAGGCACAAGAAGGAAGTTACCAGCGAAGGTTGAATTTTGTCATGCAGTGCCCGAGCATTTTCTTTGGCATGCTTACATGATGGAAATGAAAACAAAAATCCTGTGTTGAGCCATGAACTCTCAAAAACTGTGTTTTAGTAAGTGGGAGAGGAAGGTAATATCTCCGGCGGAAAATTCCTTTAGTGAAATCTCTCTTAGACTTATTGCCTGTGGTAGTGCCAACAGTAAGAAATCACTGACAAGGGCTAAGGTCAATGGGAACTGACCTTTAGCAATGCGTTGCTTTTTTTAACAAATATACAGGTAAGACTGGTGCCCGGCTGTCCAATATCAATGGCGCGTGGCTTCAAGAAATTCACCACATTTCACTGCCATGTCACTGCACCACATGTTGGCTACAACCGAGTGATGATGTCATAGAGTTAACAGGGTGGTTTATGATTAGGTCAGGAAACGAAGGCATGTCATCCCAAGTGTAAAATTAAAAAAAAAAACTGAAAAAGTGTCCATGGAGTATGCAATAAAAGTGCAAGGATGAGTGAGTAATAGGGGAAAGGAACAGCAACCAGTATTGTTAGCAAGGCATCCTGGGTACAAGGCACTGCATTGTGGGTAAGCCTGTGCATTGTGGGTAGTACCTGAAGCCATCTCTTGAAAGCAGGTGGTGAAAAGGAGTCTGACAGCTAAAAAGAAGGCAACAGAATCAGCTCTGGAGTTAATGCACAGTGTGGGGCAACAGAAAAAATGTAAACATGCATTTGAAATTAACAGCCTAGATTTCACACGCAAATCTATGTCACTGCAGCTAACAAGCATTCAAATCTAAAAAATGGAAGTTTATCATTATTTTTAAAAAAGCAAATGCAAGGACTTTAAAAAAAGAGGGAAAGGGTATAGAAAAGCCACACATCAAAGTAAAAAAAGTTCAACAGTTTTTCTGAACAAATTATAATTGGTACTTCTGAACCTGTGGAATTTCTAGAAGCAGAAAAAAGAAAAAACCTCAGGATGGGAAGTTTATTTGAGCTTCTGGACGTTGATTCTGCTGGGAACCTGAAATGATCCACAAAGTCAATAATTTTTAACTTCTATTCTGCAAGTGTGTGCTGAGAAATGCCAAAGAGCACTCTAGGCCGAATTTAAGCAAAAATTAGCAGGGAACCAGCGACTGGCATATTGTACACAGATGGCAATTTGGCTGGTAATCTGCTTTGGCTGGGTAATATTTTTGGGGTGTACAAAACTTCTGTGTTGCATAAAATTGGTCCTGATTTGTGCCAGAAAGGGTCACAATGTTTCACTTCTGAGTAGGTGCCCAGCTGGTAGCCAAGTATCTCTGACTGAAGAGGAGTGGGGAAATTCATGGTCGGATGACACAAAACACGCAAGCAAAACCAGACGGGCGCGGCAGCTGGCATTTCTTTACCTTTCCCTGTGACCTTTGGCTTTGAGCAGAGGCTGAATGCACTGGCGGGATATTGGCAGACTTTGGGTGTTGCTAGGCGTAAAAACAAAAATAGGCACAGGATTGATCATAAGCAAAATAAAAACAAGAAAAAAGACAAAAAGAGAGAAAACAAGTCAGCGATGAAGGAAGTGAATCTTGCACAGATAATGTGGAAACTAGTGCTTTTCTTTCAAGCAGATAGCGGTAATGGGTGTAGTTAATTAATTGGACAGGATTGAACATGGCAGTGATGGTGCCATTTGTCTGTTCTGCAGCATTTGAATGAATTTGTGCCTGACACCACCTACAAAAGGAAACCTTCATGTATGTACAAACAAAGAAACAACATTCAAATAAGTATATGGTGCACATTTGCACATTAGTATCAATGGCAACAAAAGACTTAGCAATAACAATCTTGGGTGCTGTGGCAACAGGCATAGTATTGGATGCAAAGGACACATTTATGCATTGGGAAAATCAGAGCCAAGCTTTCATCCTTATGAATCAGATGAACATAAATTTAGTTCCAAAGGCAAGAAAGCGTAGAGAAATGGACATGTTTTAAAGCACGCCAAGGGGCACCACTGTGCATTAAATTATAGAGAAAGGAAAATGCAAGAGGCATGGTAAAATAAAAACTTCCAAGAGCAAAGGCAGGAGTTTCCTATCTGCAAGAGCAGGGCAATTCGATGCAAAAGTGGTACATTGGTCACACGGTTAAGCTGCTACCAACCCTAATACATCACTCGCTATTCACAAACAGACAGAAGTTTTGCAAAAACATGAAAGAGGAATTAAAGACAACTGTACTGCTTTTTTCCACTGTCGTGTTTCTTTTTGTTTAGGTAGCACCTACGGTAATAACCTGACCAAGTTTCCCCTTTTGCATGGAATCGCCTAAACAGTTTGCAAAATTGAGACCAACAGCTGTACAATGCATTAAAAAAAGGTTCTTTAGGTTGACAATGTGACATTTCATTTCTGCACTAGTCAGTAAGGGTATGCTTCCAAGTATTTCAGAACATTTCTGAGTCTCAGAAAGTTCAATTTTATGCAGAAACCAGAGTTGCAAATTTATTTTTTGGAGGGGTACTCATGCCATTGGGGACATCACGCAAGCCCTATGCAATTAAAGTCTTGGTGTCCAGGTGCTAGAGTTCTGATCTCATCAAAACTCAGAGGTGACCCACAGGGTTGAGGCAGCAAATATGTTTGTTGCTTATACTTGTTTTTTGGCAGTTAATACCTTGGGTTCAATAACCGCATACATTTTGACCTCACAATGTATGGGCAACATGAGATTATTCTGCCCCCCCAAAAAAGATTGAGAGTAAACTGGTTTACGAGATGATTACAGAAAGAAGACGATTTTGGTAAGAATCATGCATTCATTGAACTTTAGAGATTTATTGCAAGTGTATCTTTGGCGGGCGAGGAGGGGGGGATCCAGGGAAACAAATCTTGCTGTTGAACTATATAAAGCAGCTGTTAGCAATTATGTGTCATGTACAGGGTAAATTATTAGCAGTACTACCGATGGAGTGACCTTGTTGCATAGTTGGCCAGTCCATCTAAGTTATCTCTGCTCACTTTCACCTTCCACCCCTTTGCCCTTTTTTTTCTGGGAACCTGCTTAAATTGGACATAATCGCTTCATTTTGTAGCAATCAGAAACCAACTCTTTGCAAGCAAGTGAAAAATGGTTTGTCTGAGCTCTTAAAGTCCTTGAACTATTAAAGTCTTTGAACTATTAAAGTCTTTCAAATTTTGGTGGATTTTTCGTGGCAGTCATAAGGTAAAGGTGGGCAGAGGACTACCATGCACTCGCTCGCATGTGATGGAGGAAGGTCTAGCATCAAACCTTTTGCATTCGCCTCATGAATTGTCTTATATCGCTGGCAAAGTACATGGGAGTTTCCCCCATGGACAACGAGCGCTGTGGGGTGGAGGAACGAAGCAAGTTATCACTAACCACAACATGCTGTTTGACACTACAGGGTTAAAGACTGATTGGAGGAAATTCAATGGGCAAAATGTCCAACGCCTCTCAGCACTTCAGATATAAGTTCAAAGTAACACTTTTTATGCAAATGAATGCAAATTATGCAAATTAGCCATCAAACAGGCTCAAGTGACCAAATAAATTTTGTACCTTGTAAACGTCCCCGTTTATAAGCCATTGCCAGCAGCGAATTGCATTGTTTAAAGCCCTTTTGTGTTTTATAAACATAAATATGGAAAATCATTTTGGACATGCACAATGAAAAACCAGAAGCGTGATTGTTTTTTCTTTGTGGCAGCCATTTTATGTTTGCTTTTTTTGCACTGCTTTTTGGGACTTTGGATAAGAAATGTGAAATCAACAAGGCACGATGTCTTTATGCTGCTTAAACACAATCACAATAGACACGTATATGACACGTAACGTGGAGGCAATAAAATTTCAAATTCCTTTTAAATGCCGATGAAAGAAAAAATACACACAGTTTGTTAACATCACTCGAGATAAATTGAGCAAAGCACTTTCGTAAATCACAAAATACTTCATGAAAATACAGGGCCCCCCCTGGACTCAAGAAATAAGAACAGATTGATTGTCTTTTAGGCTATTGCTAAATGGTCTTGTTTCCAAATTGGCCAAAGTTCCCTCTTTGTTACCAACAAAAACTATGCTGGAGATCAAAACCCACCATGGATCAGTTACACAAATGCCACCATTCCAACTCCGGCACATTTCCAGAATGTTGATGGTAAATGCCATATCAATGACAGACTTCCAGAGTTGTGGCTACATCCGCAGTCAACATGCACCCCAACATATTTACGACGGGTGAAAACCGGCAACTCGGTCCAGACTCTAACTCTGTACAAATCCCAAGGGACAGTGATAGGATGTCCAGCGCACGCTGCATTTTCCGATGTTCTCATACTGAAGCATAATTGAAGAATGAGAAAATTACCTTGACGCTGACCGGTGATGACCTCTCGACGTCCTTCACTTTGTCCTCACTGCAATCCTTGAACAGCTGTCTGACTCCCTTGGAGGGGGTAACGTCAGGCTGGGCACCGCCCGCCTCTGCTAAGTGAGTTGAACGAGAATCATCTTGGAATCAGTCTTTGGAAGCGAGTTTTCATTTTGTACATCATGAACCTATTTGACAGTGTTGTACTTTATAACGTTTAATGAGCCATCACAAATCCCACGAAACTATCAACAGACAAACACAAGACCTCAAGTAGGAATATAAATCAAAAGCTATTTAAATGAGCTGAAGTAACAACTTTCCTCCGTCGCTGTGTCCCTGATTACTTGTGCCTAGCCTTGTGTGTGGATTTATGCCAGTCTAAAAAACCACTGGTAAAGCACATCTTGTTGCATTTTGAGGCAGAAGACAGGCACTGAAATGCAAGAAATTACAGGCACTGAAACGCAAGAAATTTCAGCCACCCTAGCTGAAGAGTATAACAATACCGACACCTCGAGCATTCTCCCAACTGTACCTTAAATTCTTTGAAGGGTATTGAAACAATGAAACAAACGCACACACAAAATTAATAAATCAAATTCTGCATTTCCACTTTGATGATGAGGGAATATAACTTGATCTGTTTACAAGAGACAACTGATTGAGGAATGCCAATGGAAAATGTGAAAGAAGTAAAATATTCCCCGATGCACACAATTCACTTTTGAATTTCTGCTAGCATACATAAGAAATTTTTACAAGGAGGGATCCAAGCAAATGTTGCATTCCTGAAGAACTCAGCTACTTGCTTACAAGATAAGTGAACCTAATACTTTCTAAAAGAGAATAAAATTGCATGGGAAAATCGGAGTGAGTTCACAGAACTAAAGAGATCAACTCAACACAAAGAGACTTACTTTCTCCGACCTTGGCAGGGGATGAGAACGGCGTCAGACTGAGCTGTCGGAGCTGAGGCAGGGTACCCATGGGGGCCGTCAGGACGCAATACTCCATGACCACGTCGCACAGGCTGTGCTGCACTGCCCTCTTGAGGCGATTGGTGAGATGGGGCAGGTCAATGTTCCCCCTCTGCCAGATGGCAAACTGGATGAGGGCCGTGGGCCCTATGAAAAAAATTGTGAACAAGACATACCTGAGTCAGAAGCGAGTTTCAAACCAGTAACCGGGGACTAAACTCTTGAGCAAGGTATTTTACCTGATTTCTTTCTTCAGAGTGGCCAACCTATGTATCTATGAAGGCGGGGTCTACTGTTTGGTTGATAACAGCTACATTCTTGCTTCTACCATGAAAAAGGTTCAATAGAGGGTTTGCATGGCTGCTATCTTGCAGGCCAGTCCTTTTTGTTCCACAGTGTATGCACAAAGGAGGTCCACCTGTGGAACAAAACAAGTGCCCTGCAAGATGGCTTCCATGCAAAGCCTCTATAGGGCTCTCTGGAGACAATTGTAAGTCCACCAGTTCGGGGCACAATGATAACAAAAGCCCTCAGCTTTATCGTAAACAACTTAAAGTGTGAAGTACCTGGTTTCCGTTGTGACTCTGGGCCCATGTAATACCTCTCTGTCCGTGTCCAGGAGACAAAATCCAACGTGTCCTGGAGCTCCATGTGAGCTACAGGGGATGGCCGAGGGCAGCTGTGAAGAGAAACAGGGTTGCCTCGACCATCCACCAGCCCCATGGATATACAGGCGATGCCAATGCCTAGAGCAACGACAAGGAAATGACAATGGTAGTAGATAAAGATTTTAGCTTTTGTGTGCACAAATATAATTTGAGTACATTCAGACACAAACTTTCAAAACTAGGTTTGAAACAAATCTGTTGTGTAACAAAATATTCTACAGCCATTTGCAACAAAACTGTCTTTCTATTGTAAAAGACAAGAAAGTGTTGCCGTATTACTCGGTCTTTTTCTTAGAAATCAACTTACAAAATATAGTAAAGGGTTTCAAAAAATGTCATCATAACAGAAGATTTGATCACAAGTTGAGGGCAAGTTTTATTCACAATCCCCCTTTCATTGACAGAGGTACATCCTGCCTAATCGCACAGGCACCAAATAAGATCTATTACACCACACAAAACGGTGCTTCAACAAACAAAAATTGCCCAAGGCACACATGCATTGTGTGAGCATACGTGACCCACTATGCAAAAAAGGCCCCTTATAGACATAAGTCCAAGGGCCATTTTTGCAGAGCCAGTCATAATTACTGTTCCCTATGGTCCCTAACTGAAGCCGCCTCTCTGACCTGTTCGTCCCGCCCTCTCCGGCCTGTTATACAGATAGGCCTCGTTCTCTGGCAGCTCAATCCCCTTCTCTCTCTCCCCACCACCACCGCTGCTGCTGACATAGTCCTGGAAGTGATCCTCCGCCCTGGGGCTGCTGTACTTGGGCAAGTGAAGGAACTGCCGCAGGTTCTGGCCCAGGTAGAAGGCCAGGGAGAAGAGGTGGGGCCGGGCCGTCTGAGGGATGGTGAAGTGGAGGGTTTCGGTGGGGGGTTTGGTGAGGGGCTGGACAAACTAGAGAGGAGAAGAGAGGATGAACAGACAGTGGGATTACTCCAGCAAGGCATGAAACAGAAGTTGATTTTCCAAGAGCAAGAGAAATACCGTCTTCTCTAATTATGATCTGCTTTGTGAAAATGATATTCCAAATTGACTTCCGTGAGTACATAACTGAACTAAATGGGAGTCTCTGTGGTTGAGAGTTTCTAACTGAGCCTTTTACAAAGTTGAAGAGATTTTGATAGTACAGAAACAACAAATACAAAATGTGCATAGTTTTATTCAAGTTGCTTACTAAATAATGTTCTGATATTCATGTTGCGATCCTTAAAGTGACACTGAAGAGAGTTTTACAGAAGAATAATACTAATTTTACAATTGGGTTTTATACCATCTGGATGCAAAAATGACATTAAATCTCATTTTGAGTACATCGAAAGGTGCAGAACAAGAACGATGACCATGTGCAATCAATCAGCTCTCAGGGAACAAGCATTGTATCGAGTACCTGGATGTCATGCGGCGTTAGTTTACACATCGGGTTCCTGTCTAGCATGACCGATATCACGTCCAGCGTGGCCTCCGCCAGTCGGTTCCTCAGCAACTCCACCAAGTCCTCCCGGATCTCCGGCCCCGGGGGGTCCACCCCATGAACGTCCAGTCGGATGGTGTGCTCCGTCCGGCCCGGGCCCGTGGCTCGGGACAGGGTAGACATGCTGTCTAGTCCAGAGTCCGTGGTACTGACTTTGCGCGAATCGGACATGTGGCTTTGGGTCTGTGCAAAACAATATTGAAAACCACAGTAATGTCCACCCTTCTTCCCTGGGTCCATTTCAACCTCAGTCTCAACGGATAAAAATTATGGTAATCGCATTCCTCTATTTTGATTTGTCACTGCAGTACGAAGCAAAGCGTTCCCATCATTAACCTGATGATTTCAATTTTCAATTTGTATTATATATAAGGCATTAACAATGCAAATCTAACAGTTCCACTTTTGCTTACTGCCATTTTTGTTAAGAAGAGGTAGAGAGTTGCCTTTGTGTAAAGAAATCATTACATCTTCTATTCAGTTTGGGTTTTCCAGCTCTAAGCTCCGTCTATGTGTAAGGCATCATCTTTCGCATTGAGACAGCTTGAAGGCATTCCATATTCAAACTAAAAAATGCCCAGCTTCTGGCAAAAATATTTTCAGCAAATAAAACCCATTTCAATGGGCTAAAAAATCCAGGGGTGTAAGAAATCGGGCAACAGTGGAAATAAAGCTTTAGAAAGTCCCCACAGATTCCTCGTATTGCTTTAGTCTAATTTATTTCAGATCATGTGAAACAGTAACCCCTCATTGTTCAGTGACGACAAATAATTTTGTGGGATAGAGCCACGGTTGCCTTTCCTTGAGCAGTTAACCCCAGAACTTTGCTCAACAAATGCACAAATACAGACGGAAACAAGCCAAGAAGAGAACAGGCCTACATAAATCACATGGTGCTTTCACCGGTAACCTGGTTCTGTTCATCTAGAGAAGTTTTACTTACAGAGGACAACTCCTCCTCAAAGACTGACCCCATCCCCAGCGTGTTCAAAGATTGCACTGACGTGGCACGACTCACTATGGAAAAGAAAACATTACAGTTGCAACAATCATCAAAGTTACGTTACTCCTGACACTGTGGACTAGTAACTTAACACAACAAATAAACTAAATCTCACACCCTGGAGTTGCTGCCAGTTGCTTGAAGTGAAACTTTTCAAATCCATTAGATTTTCTTTTTCAACTGGATTTTACATGTAGGCCTACATCACATGATATTCACTTCCATTCCAAAAGCCACTTCGACGGTTAACTTACCAGGTTGGGAGCCTGGCTCGTAATGGTGCCCTGTGTCGGCGGCTGAGTTAACCCTTGAAATGTTGGTTGAGTAGCTGACTATTGTGCTGTCGAACAGTCTGCCATGTGAAGGGGACAACATGTGAATAACTGAAAAAATTTACAGCTAGTGAGATGGTAGAGAAAACCGACAGTGATCATAGACTGTTGTAAGAATGTACAATCACAGAACCGTAGTGGCACACGGAGTCCCATCTTAAAGTAAGGATGCGTTCCCCCCCCAAAAAAAACATTGTACAAAATTAGAGATCTAACAATGACTTCCCAGACATAAGAGCAACAATTACCTGAGATAGAACACGCCTCCTGATGTCTCTCTGAATACAAACATATTGCGGCGGTTGGAGACGGCAAAGGCGCTCAGTGCTGAGATTAGAGCTTGCATGCCTGACAATTACAAACCAAGGACCTGACTTAGGTGGAAGTTTAAACGATTCCTACACAAAGTAAGTCATTTGGCACCACTTCAACATTTTCACCTGCGAAATGTCCATGTCTATCGGGATGCCAGACTGAGTGATACACTAGAGCTCAGTTTGCTCTCCACGATGCTGCAACAAAAAATGGCCTCCAGACTCACTGTCAACCCTGTCATGACCAAAGGGATTTAATTAACAACATCTGCCACAGGAATTTTTTTTTTACCAATTCGAGAAGCTGTGACACTACAAGTCTCCTTACTTCTCTTTTTTCACCATCTACTCCCATCAGAACGGGTTTGTATTTTGCACCCGGGTGACAAATGCCATGTCAAACTCTGACATACCCGGTGAGGAACTCCCTCCCCTGTGTCCCGTGTACAGCCTGGCATGGATGCTGAGGTGAGTGTTCCACATCAGGTCGCAGGCAAAGTGGCCAGGGTTGAATTCCATGGCGGCGACCAGGTAGTCCTTCTGAGCTTGGTCAATGTCATCCTCATCTACACACAATGAATGAAGATAAATCGGTCTTCCCCATGTTGCTAAGTCATCAGGGAGGGTGGGGGGACAGAAACGTCAATTCAACATCTGTCACAGTTCTGTTGCAACTTAAAACGATCTGATTTTAAAATTCTGAAACCTAAAAGGCAAACAATCTTGCTTTTTAAAATGATGTTCTTGTTCCATTAAATCTGGAAAGAAACAGAGGAACGTTTCAAACCTACTTAAAATTCTCCAAAAACAGTCTGTACGTGTGCCGTCATACAGCTCCACCACAGTCACATTCACAAGCCACAAGTTTTATTCAAAACCAGTAATAAAAAGTACTGAAGTGATTTGTCTATGGAAGAGCGCTCTCGGAACAAAGAGGAACTCAATGCCTTTTCAATGCCTTGACCTGAGAATACAACAAGTCATGACGGCATGTGTAGCTTTTTACTGATTATTGGAACTGTTTATGAGAAATGTGACCACACAGAAATGTGGTCCTGAATTTTACCACTTTCCCCCTACCCCCGAAGCATCTTACCATCATCCAGTGAAGGCTTGCCAATCCTGAAGTGGATGGGATCTTCACTCTGCCAGGCGTCCTCGTCACTCTCCCCAAAGAGGATGGACTTGCAGGAGTGGGTCTTGTAGAGGTCTTGAAGCAGTAATCGCTGGGAGGGGGGCCAACACAAGCACGGAGAGATGTCAATGCCAAATTCATTGACAGCAAATTCAAGTATTTCCGTGAAGGCCACAAGCTTGGACAAGTACCAACACAACGCCCCCTTTAATCCAATCTGCAGAGGTTACAGCCCATTCGCTACTATTCTACACGGGGGTTGGTTGCCTAAAGAGCTTTGGTTTCTGAACAGTCAAGATGGTTACTAGCAAAAGAAATGGCTTGGGGGTACATGTGAGTGTTCACATCCTAACGCCTTCATGTAATCAAGCAAGGCCAGCTATTTGAACAGGTAATGCAAGATTTCACAGCATGATGTGACATGCCACTCTCTGTTTTAGATGATGCGCATGTGAGAACTCAACAGGATAAGGAAGACGACAAACTATAATGAAACTTCACAGGACTTTACCTGGTTTACTGTTCTACAAGTATTCCTGATGGTATCCGTGACTTGCCCATATAACTGCTCACCGACACCATTGTTGAAATCATCGTGATCTCTGTATGCCAAAAAGTGCAGAAAAAAATCCCCCAAAGATGTAATCATAATGCTGAAACTGTACGACTAGAAATATACGATACAAATTTAGGACAGCTGCACAACCAGGATTCCAAGAGTTCCAACAGTGTCCAAGCGTACAGGTGGAATAAACCACTTCTTTTCTGAAAAGTGTTTCGAAATAAATAATCCAGAAGTAATTTGATTCTTTCACAAATTTCTGTGGCAATCATAAAAGTGGAAATTAAAATTGAAGAAATATTACAACTGAATTGCCTAAAATCTTTCTTGTGTATACAACATCAATTGTAACTGGTTCTTGAAAGACAGTTGAAGAGTAGAGGAGATCTGGCTTTACACTGGTTTCGAGAACTCCGAGGTTAAACAAAGTCAAATCCAAGTCGCCAGCCAATTATTCCCAAGTCAAGTCAAAACCAATTTTTATCCACACGGAGGTCAAACCTGTTGCCAAAAAAATCTGCAACTGCCGTCTGGCTCAGCAACTGCAGAAAACAACACTGGAGCACTTTCATTTGATACTAAGAATGACACGGCAGTCTTCTAATCAGTTGGGGGGATGCACACCATAGATGTTATCGCAGTACGTCTGTTAATACCTGGAATGGTAGAATATCTCAACGCGGTCCGTGTGGATGCGCAGGATGAGCCAGAAGTCGGGCATGAGCTGCCTTCGTCTGGACCACTCCGACGAAAGCTCTTGGGCATCGTCCAGCTCCAAGTCACTAGAGCCTCCCTCATATCCTAGACACGCACAGCGATGACAGATTCCAATTAGAATGGAAAAGGTTCATGAGTTCTGAAAGTTTGAAATTTTCAAATCAGTTGAACTTTCAGAGGTAAGTCTGGGTACGAGCTGTCAGGTTTCTGTCGGTGATCAAGTCTAGAGTTATGAACATGTAGGTCTTAATCAAGACGGGGACCAAGAGCTCAGAGTCATTAAATGCAACATGGAAAAGGCATATTTGAGCTTTGTAACAGGACAAACATTACACGCTAAAGTTTACAGATTTTTTGGCACATTAAATTGGGTGGAGGGGAAAAATATGAAAAAAGTTCCAAAATTTCTGTATTTGGGGATAAGTGACAAACTAGTGCAAGTTAATGGTTGTGTATGGAATGAGAAATGTGAAAGTCATTTCCTGTACCTTCTTCATCGTTGTCATTCAAGCTTCCTGTGTAGCTGATCTGAGAACTAGGCGGACCGCTGGAAGCAGCCGACATCAGCATGAGCGGCTTCCTCCCGACCAGAGGCACGACGTCTGACTCTGAGCTCTGACTGGAGGTTCTCTGTGGGGGATTTGGCATGGCCGAGTCTTGCTGAAGTGTTGCGGAGGGCGGGTGATCGCCGGTCCCGGCCGAGTCTGAGCCAGTGAGAGGTCTGTCCCGTTCCTCTGGAGCTGAGAGGCTGGCGTCATCTTCACCGAGCAACATACCCGAGTCCAACTTGTGGGTCAGGGTCACGGTGCTGGTACTGGAAGTTGAGCTGTGGCTGCGGCTATCCCTGTGATCACCCACTGTCAGGTGTTCCCTGTTGGCCCCAGTCACGTCAGTGTCTGAGTAGCTCATTTCTGCCAGCTGAAGGGGCTCGGACTGTGAGCCACCCACCTGTGACAGGACAATGAAACTTGTCGAGTTGCGCTGCAGGCTACTGCCATCCTCTCCCTCCTCCACCTCCCCACTGGCCTGTATCTTTGCTCCTCCGGGTTCCTCAGATGGATCAGGCTGGCTGGCTGACTCCACCACAACTCTACTATCATGGAGCAGGCCTTCACTTTGAGTGACAGCAACAGCACTCTGATGACCGAGGACATCACCATCGTGCTCGTCTGCCAACACCTGGATGGAACTGTCACTGCTCCCGGAAGCGTTATCCTCGCCATCCCTCATCCTGTCCTCGTCTCTCGCTGCTTCCTTCAATTTCTCTGCTTCTGCTCCTCTATCAGCTGTTTCAATGAAATTTCCGACACCATCCTTCTGACCCTCAACACCAGTTCCCTCAAAAGGCTCACTGATGGCTTTGCAAGGCGAGGGTGGTGTGCAAATTATCGTTGTGGTTTGGAAGTTGCGGCCTACGGTTCTCTGTTCGCCAGCGGTGGGCGTGGGGGTTTCTCCACCCACCAGGCGATGAGGCTCTTGCTCCCCGAGATTCTCCAAGGCGCTCTGAATGGCTTGGTTGCGCATAGTGTTGTCAATGTGGGTCTGGTCGTACATGAGATGGTAGTAATGGCCAACCTTACACAACTCACAACCAGGGATGTCCGTCCGCTCAAGCTCCTGTGACCCCAAAACGAAAATAATTAAACAAACAAAAACACATCTGCATAATTCCTAAATAATCACTCTTGAAACAGCAAAAATGCTGTGTTCTAATTTAAACAACACTGAAGCATTTTGCACCAAAACTTTTCAGCCTTACGCCTTATGTCATGAACTGATACTAAGGAACCACTGCAGAATGAAAGAACTTTGGCTGACCAATCAATGCACAGCACAAAATGTAATTAATCAACTGCCAGATTTATTGTACTCAGTTCAGAGATAATTTTTTTTTAAACAGCGACAAAAAGACTATCCCCATTTACGAAAATGGGATGCACCTGACACCTCCGGCTTACCTCTGTGAACTGGGCAAGGCTCTGCTCTGGTCCGAAGACAAACTGGAGAGGGATCTCGGCTGCCTTGCATGACGGCTTGGACGGGTAGGAAACCCTGACGTGCTGCGCCACCATGTCCAAGGTTTCCACGGTAACCGGAAAGATGTGGTGCTTGGCGGAAGCAATCTCGTCCTCCAGCAGCCACTTGATCTGCATCAAACACACAAGGGTCAGAGGTGGGATCAGTTTATTGAGCTGAAGTGCACCCCCACTGATGAAAGAAAGACACAGAGTACTAAGTTTTCTAGCACGCACTCGGCGTGCATGCAAAGATCACACATTTTAGACTAAAATCGTTGCACGTTCTCAGCGTGCTCCGCGTCAAACATGCATAAACTTGTGCACCTACGCAGTGCATGAGCACTGCCACGCCCTCTTTTGTTCCTGCTCGGAGCGGATAGCATTTAAAGAACTGTTGTGGTGTGATACACATTGCCCTGGTGTAAGAAGTCAAACATCAATAAGTGCTAATTATTCACCTCTTCTTTTGTTTTTTTGATCGCCATGATCTGGGGCTCTGGCAGACTGCCAAGTCCTTCTGAGTCCAGCCTGTTTCACAAAATAAACAAGTGAACAACAGAAATAAAACAACCACTTAAAAATACACACCAGCAGATGTTTCAGATGATCAAATAAGCCGTTTAAACCAATCAAAGACAAGTCAGGAAAATGACTTTAGGGGGTTTGATAAAGGAAAAAGCTTTGCAAACTAAACTTATCTTGTCCCAATGAATCTGTTACCAAATCAACTTCTTGAGCTTTTACTTCTTTTTTCTGTTATTTTCAAGAACATCGCTTTAAATGTTTTTCAGATTGGCACTGAGAAGGTATTTGAATCACTGGGGTACAAATGAAATCCTCGAAAATTATAGCTCGTAAGGGCAAAATTAAAAAATACAAGATTTCTGCCCCCCAAAACCCTGAAACATTTCAATTTCCTATTTTCCTCATGTCTTGCTTAAAAAGTGCTGTAGTTGAATCCACCACAAATCTGCACAAATCCAGCACAAGCTGTCTAGTTTCAAATCAAGTCATAGGCTTTCAAGCAGTCAACAAAAGCATCCCTTTTGTCCTTGGTCATTCCCTGTTACTTGTGACTGGTCCTGTGGCAGGACTTTGGATTTCTTTGTGACTGGACTTGAGACAGGCTCGACAATAACACTAGTCAAAGACAGTGGACACTTGGACAGCGGCAAGCTGCAAACAGCAAAGACCAGAGAAGATTCAGTGTTGGCACCGCTGCTGGCACCCAAAAATTGAGGGTCTGTTTTCTTGCAAGTACTCACCCGTGGCTGTCCACTTCTTCATCAAATTCGGACAGCTCGCGGCCCCGGCCCAGGGAGAGGAGAGACGGGCTGTTGCATTGGGGTTGTGGGGACTGGGGCGGCGTTGATTCCGTTGTGGACACCTCCCGACGCCGGTCAGCAAAGACCTCGTCGGTGTCTGCCTGGGCTTCGTCTAGCTCCGACGGCAAGGTCAGGCAGATGAGGTCTAGGGTAACCGACAGGTCGGCCGGGTCAATCTCTTCCTCCGGGGGGCTTTCCAGGCAGTCGATGAGATGCCCTGCCAAGGTGAATCCGATTTATTTCACAAACGCATCATGCAGATTGGAGGTTTTTATTAAAAGTTTGTTGCAATTTAATTATATGTTTCAGTCTCGGTGAAATCTGTAGATGGAATTTAGTTCTTTTTCACAATTTCACTCAGTCCATCCAAGAGAAGTATGAATGAAACAATAAGCCACAACAACAGGTGAAATGTGAAATTTAATTATTTCTCAACTCCAAAGAATAAAAATAATTAAGCCAGCTCATCCATCCCACTAGGCAATGTTTTAAACTTTTTTTATTTATGTATCAATTGATGATTTCACCACTAAAGCGATACAGGGGTAAAATCCAGGTAAGAATTTGAAAATACAAAGAATGACCTCACCCACCTAAGCATGTTGGTAGAGTCCTCTTGGACATGTTTCCAACATTATTCTTCAGCTTGACGGAGCATACCAAGTGCACAAACAGGGGTGACATCTCCTCTTCGTAGCTGCCCATCAAGGACTCGGTCGAGGTGCTCTGTTCGTCGGCAGTCTCACCCAGCGAGTTCTTCTTCCCTTGCCGCAGCGACGACTGGTAGACATCCACGATGGAGTTGATCTTGTTCTCCGGCACGGGAATCTCTTCATTTTCTGAGGTGTAACTGGTAACTGTTAACAGGCAAATTATGAGGGGAGACTACATTAAAGTCTTTCTGTTTTATACAAAAGTCACTGAAATGCAAAAAAAATACAAGCTGGGGCCCACATCCACGTATTTACACAGATTGATTAGGAAAATTTCTCTTCACTGTGGATGGGAACCACTCAAATGCTGATTTGGTTTACATGAGTGGGTGAAGAGAATCGAATCATAGAAAAGCGCCTTGCCCAAGGACACAGTATCTGGCAAACAGCTCAATTCAAGACCTTGACTCTCCAATCCGAATCACAAGCATGCACTTGGTCATCTTTAAAACCTTAGCAACGCTTTCAGAATATTGGAATTTACATCATGTTGCCCATATGATGCAAGATATGGGGGCGGAGAGAACCCCCCCGCCTTTATGTTGCTCACTGTTTGATCGGAATCTCAAGAATTCTTTACAGACTTCTAGGGGGGATGTGTGAGGTAACAATTGTCTGGAGCGTGTATAGGGATTGGACATGTGGGGGGGTACCCATCGGCCCCATATCATGCACGGTATCATTTTACCAAACACAGGGCTGTATACTTCACTAAAATACATTTTCAAGCAATGACAAATGCTCAGTGCCAATTTTCGGTATCCAGCAATGTAAGTGACACAAACCGCTCATTTGTTCCGATGTGATTTCTTCTGGTATACTGGTGGTGTGAAGTTTTTCTGGCTCAACTGACAAGATCTCACAGTCCGATCTGCCGTCATCATCGGCTTCTTGGAAAATCAAATCCATCTGTGAGTCAAAACAGACACAGAACATTTGAAGTAAATCAATCGGTAAGTTATTAATCTGTGACAAGTCAGGTGGTCAAGTTAATATTTCGACACCATTTTGATAAAATTATGAAGGACCCGCTCAAGACTGAGATTTTTGGCAACTTGAGATTTGGGGATATTCTGACTTTTTATGATGTTCTCTACAGGACTGTTAAGTGTTGAGACACGAGATTACGTTGTTTGCTTCTCATGCTAATGGCACAAAAGCGACGTACATGCGCAAATTCATTTATACCTTTTGATAAAGTGACGTACACGATGAATCTCACTGACTTTACCGGTGCATGTCTGAATATTACCTCTTGAGACCTTTATTTTGACAAGGTGATAAATCTGTAGTATGACATTTCATAAACGTGCACACTTTGTACAAACAAAGGCCACAAGGAGTGAGCACTCCTTGAGTATCTGGAGTGACATTTATCTGAAATCAACGTCTACTAATTTTACATAAGCATGTGAAAAAAAGACAGACGTAGTCTGCTTTTTCAGCGGAGCGGCCACACCTTTATTTTTCTATTCCTGTGATCCTTTTCGGAGCAAGATTACAAAAAATTTCAATGAATTATTACAGGAAACTTCATTATCAAAATCTGAGCGCTCCTGTCCTTACTGGAATAATCCTTTTGGGAATGCAGTGAATTCCCTGTGGAAATCTGCCATGTTCCTATTGGGAATAGGCTACTCCCGGGTAAAACGTGCAGTGGTACTGACCACTGTTCCCATGTACAGACACATGCGTTGCTCGTAGTATTAAAGGAAAAGTGGGTATTTCTGAGTGGTATCTCTTTGGCACGTTGCACAGCATTCAAACTACTGAGATGTTCTTTAACTGCTCCCACCTGTCCTCTGCCTATTACACAATGCTTGTACAATATCAATTCAAAAGCCATGGTCTTTCTGGGCTACCAAATTTAGAAATCTATATCAATGTCATTTTATATGGCTTTTTTGCGGATTGAGGCTACATATGGGGGTGGGCTTGTTATCATGCTGTTGGAAGGAAGGGAAATGAAATTGACCAAATGAATGCCATTCTCATTATTTTCCGATCAAATTTTTGTTCTCTCTCTCGGTGGAGACCCCCATTGGCACCCATCCCTGGATCAGCCCCTGGTGACCTGCCGCCACTTACCTCCTGAAACTCAGGCTGACGGAAGAACCATATGTCGGGATTGGAGGGCACAGGCTGGAAGTGGTTGCCCATGACCTGCGTGAACGTCCTCTGGATGAGTTTGTGCAGGTCGTTGGTTCCCGTTGGGCAAGGCCTGGCAGACCGGAGCGCAGAGAGCGGAATTTTGACGGACTGCCGCGATGCCTTGGACAGCGACGGCTTGCTGGGCCTGGGCAAAGATTTGGTCTTGGCGTGAGACCTGCCAGGGGGATTGAATCAATATTTCTTGAGCAGCCTGAAGAAAATATTAGCCTGAGTGAGATGTGAACCAATGACTACTGGAAAATTTGCACTGGAACTTGACCGCCTCAGCATTTCCCAAGTTTACCACACTACCATCATCTACATTTAGGAAGTGATTCCTATCGACCCAGCATGCATGTGTTTCACTGTTTCTGACCAGCATCATCAGAAGTTTGGACGGGTCAGTTGGCAGAATGTCGTTGAACAGTCACAGAGACCGCAGGTTGGAGTCCTGTGGTAAGTAAGTATACCCGGGCAGTTCCTAGAGGTTTTTTTAATTCATTCATCTATTCATGGGCATGATATTTCTTTCCCTGAAACTGTTTGAAAATAACTGAGACCAAGATGGCAAACAGAGTTTTAGACTGCTCCTTTCTTGACCAGAGACTGTGAGTTTCAAATGAGGGTGAAGTGACTTCTTGAGAGTGATTTTTTTTACCGAGTTGTTGTCTCTTCAGCATCATTATCGTCCTCGTCAATGTCAACCTGGACCTGGTCAGCAAACTTGATCTTCTTGGTCAAGAGATCGCTAGCTTGTTGCTCAATATTGAGCTGTAGGTTAGAAATAAAAAAGAATCAAATTTTTAAAAAAAGAAGCACAGTATTTGCAAGTACCTGGCATTATTTTCAGAAATTTTCTCAAGTGTTCTAAAATAATGGTTTGGAACCAACAGAGAAATATTTAAAAAGTATTTAAAATGATAATACATTCATCAATTCCACCACCCCTTTATGAAACTAGGTATCCCATGATCCTTTATCTTGCGATTTCGTTCTCATCAAGTGTTTAAATCACAAAGCCTTCTTGCGATTTTGTTCTCATCAAATGTTTAAATCACAAAGCCTAACTAACTGCTATAGGAATGTAAGCATTCTTACAATGCTTTGAAGACAAGGAAATGTTACCTTTTCACTATACTTTCTGATATGTCCACAAACTGCATGAAGAAAATGGGTGATGTCAATGTCATGTAGCGACTCTACACAGATGAAGTCTAGCGCCATCTGCACATCCTGAGCATCAACGTACTGCCCGCGCTGAAGACCCTTGAAGATGCCCATCACAAAGTACTTGCTGATCTTCTCGCCCAGCTGGGTGCAGAACCGGCCCAGGGTCTTGCTGGGCTGGCCCCTGCTGAGGCTTCGGTCGGCTGGGGCCCCAGCGACCTGTTCCAGGTGCCCCCGAGAGGAGTGCCGGGAGAGGGACGCCCGGGGGGTGCCCGAGCCACTCCTGGAGGAGGTCTGGGAGCCTACAAAAGCCGGGATCTGGGCCTCCAGTGAGGCAAAAGTGAGGTCCTGGAAGACATCTGTAGGCACCTCATGGTCCTCTGTCTTCAGGAGCTGGTGTCGGAGAGAGGAGAGGGAGCAGTCATAGACATATATCGGCAGGGTGAGACCATGCTTGACATCCGAGGGATCAGGACTCATTCGAGAATCAGGCTGGTCTTCACTGTATTGAGAATCATCTACACAAGCTCCTGATGTCAAGTCTTGTTCCTCGGACATGGTTAACCCATCAGATGCTGGGGTAGTCTCCTGGGGAGGTATGGTGGATGAGCTCCTGGAATCCATGACTTTGGCACTCGCGTCCAGTTTCCCACTGCTGTCCTGGTTTCCGTCCTGGTCTTTGACCTTCCCGAGCTCCATCAGCTTCTGGAGGTCACCGTAGCTGGCCGGCACGAAGGTCAGCAGCAGGTGCGAGCTGGGCTTGACATCCTTGTCGGCGTCACTGGCGCGCACCGCGTCCTTGACAAAGCAAGTCCACCTCGGCACCGGGCTCTCCCGCAGTGCCTGTCCCTCCTTCAAGGCCTGCTGCCAAGCCTCTGGCTGGGTGCTGGACAGTGAATCAGAGAGCTCTGTGGCCAGGCTTGTTGTCCGGCCTGGGTCACTCTTTGGCCTCAGCACGGCTCTCTTCATCAAGGCCTCGAAATCTGAGTCAGGTAGCTCGAACGGGGCTGGGTTGCTGTTGCCGTCACGGCTCCTGTTCAAGACCATGTTCACGAATTTCAGACCGTCCTCCTCTGAGAGGGTAAGCTCGTGACCGGTCATCTTGGACAGGGCCGTCAAGAGGAGACAGTAGAGAGTGTTGTTTGGTTTCGGGTAGCGTGGAAAGTGTGGTCTCGGAAAGGAGTCATCAGGACTATTCTTGGACAATGGTTCTGAAATAAAACAGAATTCAGGTCCAATAAAATATCATTTTGCTCTGTAATTTTTAATCAATATGAGATATTCAGCTGAACAAAGAAATTGACTGGTGAGAGACTAGAACCTACGACCCCCGGAATACCACACTGGAGCTCAACCAAGTTCTCTGAGTGCTAATGATGCAACTGTGAGTGCCTGTGGAATACTTGAGAAGTACTTGACGGTAACACTGAGGAAAGGTTTACCTTCGATGTACGTTGAGCACAAGACCTCTGCCTGCTGGCACTTGGGCAGAAGCTTCAGCAACTCCAAGGAGTACGGCAGGTGGGTGATGGACTCGCTCAGCCGCAGGGTCTCCCCAATTGTATCTGTTGAGGGGTGTGGCACGGGCGCCAGGATGCCTTGGTCGTGGCACAAGATCTTGAGGTGCTCGAAGGTCAGCAGGGTGGAGATGACCTCCTGGTCCAAGGGGAACAACTGATCACAGAACAGAAGAAAAAATAAAATAACAGGTCCCCTTAATAGACTGAATTCATGTGTCCACCATCTTGATTTGAAAGCGACGTAAAACCTGAGAGTGAAAATAACAGCGATGAAATAAAAGTTCAATACAAATTCATCCCATATTCTGAATACTTCACTATTAAGCCACATTTGAAAACACTGAAAGTGAAGTTTAAACTCCTAAATGGTCTGGCACACTCCCATTTCACAGATTACACTGAATATTACAGATTCAGGGAACAAGATAAAACATGGCTTCCCCATGAATAAGGTCCATTACCACTTGCGGCACATCCTTGTAGCTGCAGTTCTGGAAGTGGTCCCTCTCGCTGGGCACGTCGCATGCCATGCCGCTCTGGGGTTCCACCCAGCACTCTGTCACCAGCTGCAGCCGGCCATCTGCCTCGGCCGTGTCCTGGTCATCTAGTGGCTCCAAATCAGGGTGGTTGGACCCCCTAGGGTGAAGGAAAGAAAAACTTCTGGGTCCTTACTGTTTTTGGAAGTGCCTAAAACGGGGTAATTTCTTTTTGGCTAACGCAATGGTAAATATGATTGGTGTTTTATGACAGCACGTGGGGCTATAATACATGAATGTACTCAGATTTTCGAAGCAACTGTCATTTTTTTAAGGTAAATTTTGAGTACCAACTGACTGATCCATTTCGTCTAACCTCATTCAAGATTAACCAATTACAGCTGTATCAGTGTAAATGACAGAAATCCAAGATGCATGGCCTAACATATGGCACACATATGACACATGCTGTGTGGTGTTGGAGAGGGGAACCTGTTATTATTTAGTGAGCATCGGACAGGCTTCATGGTACGTTAACTGCATTTCAGTTATCTATTCTTACCTCCATATATCAAAATTAACCAGTTCTTATAAATATTGCACACAGGAGGGGATAAATTTCCCGAGACTAGACAAAATTTAAGGCTGATCAGGAAGTGATCCGTTCAGATTATAAATGAATTACAAAAACGCTTGACAACAATGCCATTTTTTGTCATTACCCTGTAGTCCGGTCCATGCAGTATGTTGCTGTGTGTGGCGGAAACACGATGTACTGCACCAGGCAAGGGAACACATCGTCCCCTGCCTCGTCCGTCACTGTGTCTGTTGCCCCGTCAGCCACGGTGTCCAGATCCATGTCCACCTGGTCTGCTGTGGGCTTGGAACCAGCCGGCGTTTGGGCCTGGGTGAAAGCTGGGAACAGATCCTGACTCCCTGACTTCATGGGATTCTTTTGAAGAGAGAGGAATTCTTGAATTTGAAAATTTTTTATTGGGCAGGTTTCTCATATATTCAAGCCTAACACTAGACATCATTTTCCCCCCTTTTCTTTTGAAAGCAGATCGTGCGTGGCCCATTCTTGGCAAATTTATGACACTTTCGGCAGGTTACATGACAGTCACAAAGATTCTAAGATTAATTTGACATGCTAATGAAACAAGATGAAATCAAACTTTCAGAACTGTTTTCCAATGCTACCTTCATCTTAAGCTCGGTAACAAAACTGATGATTCCAGAGTTGGAGTAGGAGAAATGGAAGCCCTCCTGAAGCCTCAAACTGGAACAGAAAGGAAAAAAAGACACCAACATTACAGTTGTAGATCTTTCAAATCAAGGCAAACCTTTCCATCAGTTTGTCATTTTTGAGTTTGACAGGGATGCAACATCAAAGAAACGAGGTCTGAAGGTGATAACACACAACACTATGACATAACCTATGAACTTTGGTGTTGAAGTGGAACCAGGCATGAATCGAAAACGACACACAAAATAAGCACAATCAAACAGATGTGAACTGTACAGTGTTTTTTCTTCAGATTTTTTAAGACAAATACGTTTCTGTGGAAGCTACTTTGAGAAGGGCAAGTTGTCTTTCTTGTAACCACCACAAATTTCTGTGAACAATACAATGTATTTAAGGCATGTTTAATGCAAGCGAGTTTGGCAAACTTTTTTCAAGATACTGAAATTTCGGAAGAACTGGGACCTCTTGTTAAGCTATTTTGCCAAAACTCTACAATTTTGAGAATTTTTAAGCTTTTCACGAGTCGTCGTAAAAAAAGGAGGAAATACGGACCGTTGACTGCTAATTGTAGGCATTTTAGATAACTAACGGAACTGTTGCTACGTTGGGCTGCTTAGATCAATGAACAGTGAAGAGATTTTGTACTTCTCAACTTGACTTACTCTGTGAGGACAGACAAGACGTGGGCCACGGCCTCCGTGGAAATAGGTGGGCTGTGGTCATTCTGGGCATCCCATATCCAGCGGTGGTGGTGAAGGTAGCAGGCCAGTCGATTCAGGTCCTTGATGGGGCCTTTGCTGTCCATGTAGACTGGCACCGAGCCTGTTGTAACTCGGATGGAGGTCTTCAGGTCGGTGAAATCTGGAGGCATCCTCTCATACCTAATCAAACGAGGGTATCAAAAAATGGCCTGGTTGTCTTCTTAATTTCTACTTTTTTCGAATTTTTTTCCAGAAACAAGACAAAGGGCCAAACTACCACCTTGCTTGGCAGCCCTTTACACATTTAGGACAGAAAAACAACAACAAAGACACTGAAACTTGACAGCACTGTGATGCATTAATTTTCCTGTGAACGAATCACTGCTTGTTTCATCAAGACTGAGGTTTCCGTCAAAGTAAGCCAGCTTGATGGACTCCACTTAAAAACTGTGATGCCATAGTAAACGTAGATCTCCATTCACATTTACGCACTTGCTAGTGAAAGGCTACAAAATTTCCTTAAAGTTTCCAATTGAATCAAAGAAGATTTCCTTCCAACAAAGTTCACAAAATGCAGGCAAGATGATGAGGCTCCATAGAAACACACAGAGACATGTGTAAATTACATGTGATTGCTAAACTTTAAATTTGATTTTCATTTCATTTCAACTTTGAATAGTTATGAGCTATGAAATGCATTTATAAATGGAACATCTTTAAAGCAAATTTAGTTGACAACTTGGTAGTTTTACATATGCCTTTAACATTTAGCTTATAACTTGTTTTCCCAACCCCGGGAAATGGGGTTGTAGATGTAGAGCAGAAAATATACCAAGCCCAGCGGGCTTGGGCAAATCTCCACAGGCCGGAATCAACAGGCAGAGACATACTTGACCAGGATGATGTCAATAGGCCTCGCCAGTATGACGACGCAGGACTTGTCCGTGGTCTGCTTCTGCTCCTGCTGGGCCGGCTTGCCCTTGGCTGCCGCGGCTATCTTAGAGACGGCCGACTTGCGCTGGCTGGTGCTGGCCTTGAGGTAACCCGTCTGCCTAGTGGGGACTGTCAGGTCTTGTAATTTGTGCCTCAGCTCACTCACGATCTATGCAAAAGTAAACCAAAAAAAAGGAAAAGTTGAACGGATATGCGGGAGTTAGGGAGCAAAACCACAAGCTGCTGGCAACTTTCTTGGAATCAAACTGAAGCCTCAGACTTAAGTGACCTGTTCAGTTCCAAACAAACGTGTCAGGTTCAAGACTTAAAGAGGGCTTATGATTTGACTGTAACTTACTAAATTCTGTGGGTTGCTCCGAGAGTGAAAAACTCTTTCTATATCAAGTACTCAGCTCAATCTCACCAATAGGGCTTAGGACTGCTGTCAATGCGCAATTCTATCAAAATGTGAGCACGCTATTGGACAGCTACTCGTACTAGGCCTATCTATCAATCAATGAATCAATCAGGGAGCTTTTGGGGAAGCCAAGCAGGTCCACAAGCTGATCTGCAAACCTTAGCTTGCAATTTGATCACTCGGCAAGTCTACAGATCTGCCTGTCTTTCAACCAACTTTCGCCCAAGCTTTGTGAGGAATCTCAGTCTCTGCTTGAAACAGCAGAACATTCTAATAGTTCTGGCATTTCACAGGTCGACGAGGAATCGCAGCTTGCACATGTGCACACTGCTCCTAGGAGTTACGACTAGGCAGGGTTAGCTTAGAGTTTCTTTGCTGCTGCTGTAAAAATGGAATGGTGATCATAAGCATGAAACTATAAGTTTAGCTGAGCATTGAAACTGTGCCCATTGAGCCGATGAGCTTGGGAAAGTTGAACGTTCAGAGGAGGGAGGAAGTAAGCTATTTGGAGAGTCCAGCTAGCCGGCTGTCATATTGACCTCCCTTACCTTGTTCCTCTCGTGTCCCGATGTTCCTCCAAGGAAGGCCAGTCTGATGACCACGCAGGGTGCTTTGGACTGAACCCTGATCAGATAGAAGGATGTTGGAGAGCTGCTGCCGTCCCTGGCCAGAAAGAAGAAAGTAGGGGAAATAATGCTTTGGCCTACAAATGATTTTCTTAGCTTGCCTAAGCCTCTGCAGTATCCGTAACAAATCCGCAATGCACCATCAAATTTTGGGGATTTACCTTTTTTGAAATTTGGTCAGTAATTTTGAGGTAAATGGGGTAATTTTGAGGGCGTCATTGCTGTGCTAGGACGTGGAAATTTACATTAGCTTGAAACCAAGGAGACTGATTAAAAATGTCATGAGAGAGTGACAATGAAGAGGTTACTAGTACTGAAAAATGGACAAAAAAATGCATGTCAATATTTCAAGTCACTGAAATTCTTCTGCACTGGCCTCTCTACAAGAAAAGATTTTCTTCTGCAAGAACGTCCCGGCCTCTCGTGCCCGGCCAGTTGCATAGCCTCACTCAGTCTTGTCGTACTCAAGGTTGAACTTTCTACTTACGTCGATGTGAGCGTGATGTAGCTGTGGTTCTCCAGCAGCGTGAAGGTGCTGAATTCCGTCAAGAGGGAGTTGAGCTCCTTCTGGGCCACGCGGCTCTGGATGTTGTTGTAGCGGCCGTTGCTGTTGGGCAGGAACAGGTGCTTGGGCAGGGGCCTGCCGAAAAAGATACGCAGTTGGGACTTGGGCAACAGGTGAATACATACCGACGAAATGGAAATCAGTGAATGGAAGCCCCTAAGGATCCAGTAAACTCTTCAAAATGAATCAATGAACAGGCACACATTGAAACTTTTGATCGGTACTTGGCTGATTTAAATAAAAAAGAGACTGAGAAGGGATTCGAACCTGTAATGTTCTTCAGTGTCTTTGACAACCCAATATATATACACATAACAAACAATAAAACCAAAACACTCCTCAAAAGCTCAGTTTGCATGGCCATGAAATTGTGACAGACTGCAAGTTCAACATCTGGCTTTTGCCGAATCTTCTTCCTTCTCTGAAAGGTGACTCAGTTGGAAAGCAAATTTCTTACAGAGCTTCTATAAAGAACCTCCATGATCACAGCAGGTGATAATGGCAACATAAACTGACCGAAAATGCCCTGAAACACGACACTTGATTTGGGGGGGCAGGTGTAAAGCTTTTATGTAATCATCGGAACTTCACTTGCCACCTCTCACCACAGAATTTTTGTCACCGTCTTTGTCATTTGTCAATCTCATTACAATAACGAACATGGCTTCTGTCTAATTCACTTACATATCTGGGACCAACAAAAGAGCAATTCTGTGGGTGTGTAACCATCTCTGCCTGAAAGTGAAATAAAAACAAACTAAAGACTAATTCAAGACTCAATCACGACAGAAAAAAACTTTCCTTTAAATGAAAAGGGATAGATACTTGAAGTAGGATATTGAAAAGGGTGAAACTTGCCACGCTTTCTGGGAACCAAGCTGTGATTTAAAAACAAACAAATGGGCTCATTCAGCTGTCAAATCTGAAAGTACTGATGTTACCATTTCTTGGGTTCCATGAGCGATATCCTCTTCCAGAATCCTGCAAACTGTTCCAGACTTGAGTCCCTTAAAAAAAAAAAATTAACAATCTATTTTTTCCATTCGTTGAAGAATTTACAGTTTCTAAGCATTTTCACAAAGCAAACACTGAGTAAAATGTCTTTTGGCAAATTTTCGGCTTCCTTAAGAATCTTTATTTTGGGGTGGGTAACTGTTTATTGAATACTCCATAAGGAAGACAGTATGTTCTTGGTCAAAAAACACAGTTTTCAATGCATTCCCAACTTCCGATGCAAGTCAACTTGTAGGGACATCTGGAGTCTTCTGGCTTTTCCCAATTAGGAAAAGGTTGTATCCCAATTAGGAACATCAGGTGTCCCAATCAGTACCGGGGCCTGTTTGATTGACATGGCTCCGTACCTCGATAAGTAATCTGTCACCGGTTCCCTGACACCAGATACCACCTGATAGATGGAGTGACTCAATATCAGGATCACTGATTGAGATCCAAAAACACACAGTCCCCAAAAAACTATCAAAAAGGCTGCTTTATGGTAAAGCAATTGTTCGTACGAATTTTTGTCGCAACTTATTCTCCAAGACAGACCACTTGACACTGCTAGCCAACTTTGAGTGGAGTGATACCTATTGTGAATTACGTGTTACAATCTGGGTGACTTCATGCCTCGTTTGCAAGATACGCATCAAGAATTTTTTTGTAACCTACTTGCTGTCAAATTTCTGGGCCAGGACTGGCGTCTCCGAGTAAGGAGGCATGTAGAGAAGTGGGATGCCTTTCTTGATGCCGTCTGGCACGGTGTAGTAGATAGAGTTGGTGGAGAAGGACTGGAGATGGACCAGGAGCTGGTCAGTCTCCTGAAGGCTGGGGGAAATGGTAAAGAACAAAATAACACGGAAAGATATTCTCTGGAATGAAGAATATTACTTATCCGATCTTTGGAAAATTCCTACATATTATTTAACCTGATCTTCAGACAGTTCCACTTCTCCTGCTGTATGAAAAGTCACATGCCGTCAATTAAATTTTGACTGAAGGCACAGCTTTGTTTAATTTGTCTGCTGGAAAGAGCGGGTTAAAGGTAACTTGCTGGGGAAGTCCACAACATGGTCCCCTTTTTGTTTGATACGTACTGCCATGCTTTCATAAACTGCACTAATAACAAAGACTAGTGACGTGAAAATTCTTCTTTTCTTCATCCAGATGCTAAACCAGTGGGATGATATGCACTGAAATTGATGGATATCTTGAAGAGTAATGCTTTTATCACATATGGGGCACGGTGCCAGCAGAATCGTGGACTAGAAATGTACATTATTTACCTTCGCAGCGTCTGCCAGAAATTCATGACCACCCTGGTGCGATAGGCGTTGTGGGGGCTCTTCTTCATGCGACACGTCAAATCGTGAAGGAACTCATAGCTCCCCTCCATGATAACATCCACATTGGTCAAATGCCTGAAGTCAAATCACAGAAGGTGTACTGTCTGTCACCTGTGAAATTCTGTCAGGAATTTCTTTGAATACATGCATTAGCCATTTTTGGCGTAGTTTTTCTGATAGTTTCACGAAATGAATCAGCCTTCAACTTGCCTCATAGTTTCAAAGTACTTGAAATTTATCTTACACTTCTGAAAATTAAACAATTTTAACCGCCACCAACTCCCCCCCCCCAGCCACAAATAAACAGAAGAGCTTATTGTTTGTGGCCACCTACCTGTTAGGGTTCAGAGGCCATGCTGATGAGGCTATGTACTCTATCCTGCCGTTGTATTTCCAGGGGAGTGCCAACTTCACCTCGATCTGTTTATCATCTGAAACGAAATAAACAAACAAATAAACAAATGAGATTACAGGTAGATAAATTAAGAATTCCACACTGGCCTTCTCTCAAAAAATACTTTCGCGGCAGATGGTAGGACTTTCCAGGAACTCTTGAAAACATATCCAACGAACATAAACATTTGTGAGAAGTCTTTGGACACTTAGTATAAACAGAACGATCGAGGAGAAATTTCATTAGTGATGGGCGGAGAACATGGACAAGGAGGGAATGCGGTCTTAAAGCTACGGCGCTCCTCTTGAAAGTACATTTTGCTCATTCCAACGATGCCAAACAATGGCGTGCTTACTTTTGGTGAGTGCCACGTCTTTGATGGTGTAGCCCTCCCTGAGTCGGACGGACAGTACATTGGCCAGGCTGGTGTGCAGCTTGTAGTCTCGGTGCTTCTTCCTGATCAGGGGAATGGTGCACAGGCCTTGCTTGTTGACGGCAAAGGGAGCCGGAAGCTGGATGCTGAAAACGAAAAGCACTGGCTATGCACGTAACCGTTTGAGGGCACTCTGACATTCGTGAGAAGATTAAAAGTACCAAACTTGCAATTCTGCAAGAAACGTATGCCGTCTTTCTCGACCTGGCACTCAAAAGACTTGTTCCTACGAGTATCCTCCAATTTTATTTGACTCCATCAGTCACTGCTTAAAAATGAAAAATTTTCATCTTATCTTAAACAAGCAGCTGCCAATGGTTAAGCCTACAAATTAGCTTTGCATGGTAAAATATACTACATATATACTATTGTGCTACTCTGAATCTATACAAGCATTGTCCCTGCAATATAGAGTTATTGACCCCGGTGTCATACTGGTATATATTATTGAAGTACGCCATGATGGTACCAGACTTACCCTTCTGTCTGACAGGCTACTTCTGAAGAAATGACTTGATGCTGTCTCCCTGTTGATTGAAACAATACGCAGAATGCATTTCATGACATCAAACATTTCCACATTAAACCTATGTTGCAATACAAGCCTGACTAAGCTCTGATCAGTTGGTCCTACACTCCAGATCCAAACTCCAAACTCCAAAATAAATCTGTGCTTCTTCTTCAACCGCTCCGAGAATAAGATTTTGGCCACTTTTTATCCGACAAAAAGACGTAAATTCTTGTTTTTCTCTCTCTCTTTACATTTTGGGGCTTCCTTAAATTAATAAAAATGGAAAAACAAGACTTGACGCAACGTATGTTGTGGCTTCTACAGGAGATACTGACCGTCTGAGGTTTACTGAAACAATGTTTGAGATAACAATTAATTCTAAGGCCAATTTGCATTCTCAAGTGATGTTATGTACATCTAAACTGTCATGTCACCAGGTGCTTCGCCTAATATAAAGAGCACCAGACCTCATGCCTTTGGAGCAATTATCGCCACATACTATTCAGTTATATTAGCAAGTATTTTTGTAAGCTCTGACCTTTGATGTAATCTATCTTGATTCCATCCAGGCCTTTCTGAAAATTCCAGGACAGGAACGCTTTGTGGTACTGGTTCATCCCTATCTTATTGGAATTCTGTTGGATAAAAATCAATACTAAAAGGTCAACATAATTTCTGGTGAAAGCTTGTACAATCGTAATACATTTCAAGCCGAGTTTTAGGGGAAACTTGAACCAGCAGTCTATAACTTTGCCACTGAGGTAGAACATATTGTTTTTACTGTTTTCAGTAGAAAAATTGATCCCAAAGCAAAAAAGCGAACGGGAACCTGTCAAAGTTCATACTTCATTGTGCTATTTTAGCTGATAAACCTGTTTTGCTAAGCAAATATTTTGTGTGCTTAACAAATTTCTGAGCTTGGTTGGCTCCAAGAACTTTGCCCATGCATTTCTAAATTTATAGAAACACTGGAAAGAAATATTGAGCCGGATACAAGTAGGCATTCAGTATTTTGAGTTCAATACAAAAGAAAAATTCCCCTATTCCCCTGAGGGTCCCACTGTTTAAACAACCACTCACTATTTTGGGGCACTTAGACAGGAATGCACCAAAGGTGGCCGTGGCGATGAACTGCATGATCTCGGTGTGCGGAATGTAGCCGAAGCTGCAGTGGGGGTGGAAGCCCTTGCCAACTTGGAGGAAGGAGCAGGCCACTGTGCTGTTCCTCATCTGCGTCAGTAGGTGGGTGGTGGAGGCCATGTCCGGCATTGCCGTGACGCCATCAGTCACGCATATGATTCCTGGTGTGTGTGTCAGAAAATGCATAGTGTTTAATGCTCACCAGCTCGTTTGGCCAGATATATGCCAGTACCTTGCATGTAGAGTGCTGTGGGTAAGAGAGCCCTCTATCAGCAAAGATTCCGAGTGGAATGAGTTGTAACTGGTGATCAGTGGGTTAACTATTCACATTAGACATTTACGAGGAGTACATCTGTGAAGTTACAAAACAGTCCAACGTAGGGTTTTATTTTCTGATCATTTGCAGTTGACACCTTCACATGTCAATTTGTGTGCACTGTGCACATATCAATAGGAAAAGTTTCCCTTTTTGGCTGACCTGTCCTGGAAAAATTGACACTTGGTAATAACGGCATGTCAACTTATCTTCAATTGGTGTCAAAACGATTGTCAGACATGACTGCAAAAATTCCTGAAGGCTCGGTATGGGAAAAAAGAGCTTTGCAACGATATCAGAGAAAATGCCCATGTGGGCAGGTTTGCCAGAGGATTCTTCATGGGTTGAGAGTAAAGTTGCTGCACTCACCTGCACTGGTGTTCTCTGGCAGCAGCTGCAATGCCAGGATGCCGCACCACAGCATGTTCACGAAGCACGCCTCAGGACTTGCCATCTCCTGGGCCTCTGTCTCTGGTCGCTGCGAGGCGGAAGACGAAGACAGGCCACCCGGCTCGACGATGTCATCAAATATGTTGGGGTGGTCCAGGTCGAAGGTTGTGTTGGGATTTCCATTGACCTGACTTGCAAACATGTCTGGGCACAGGGATGTTGATAAACGGTCACTAAGTAAATGAAATTCAGTGAGGCATCTAGCTCTCCAAAAGTTACTTGAAAGGGATTTACAGCGGCGACATGCTGTAAACCAGTACGGGTATCATCATCACAAGGTTGAGTTTTTCCTGTTTTGCAAAAGACTTGCCATGGCATCAAATTAACAACATTCTCCCAAATTGCAGCTGACACCGAGATTCTCGGATCAAAAAGGTCCAGTTTTAAACCAAAAGGTTTTTGTACTCTTCAGACAGGCACAATGTAGAATTGAAAAAAAAAGTGATGTTCCCAGTTAACAGCATATGTGTGACTCATTTTTTTTTCCTATTGTGTGGAAGAGAGAGCATGAATAAGACTTACTGTCAACAAGTTTGTTTTCAAACTCCTCCAGTTCTTCTTGTAGCTGATCTAGGAACGATGACAGGTTGTCCTGAGTCAACAAACATCCTTGGAACAATACCTGAACAAACAAATTTTCCAGACGAAAAAAAAGAAAAAGATGCACACTGACGGAAGTCTCGATCATATGTGAATGTAACAATTCACTTGCAAATGATTTTTTACAAATCCCGATACAACTTAAAAATGTTCAGACATCGCCTAGGAACCTTGACAGGTTCTGTGTAGCTCACTTTTGACCGACGACCCATGCGCAGTTTCTACACTAGTCTCCAACATCCATACAGAGCTAGAGACATTTTCAAGACTTGACAAACCATTCCAAAACATCAGCATGTGAGCGATATCCACTGTACATAAATTACATTTGCATTTCTTTTGACCATATTGGGTCTACGCATAAGTTTGAAATCCATCTTTGACATGGACTTGTGTAATACTCAGACGTGGAAAGCTGTACATTATCTGCTTGGTTGTATTCTTCAAAATGAATGTTGCAACGTCACACTACTGAATGAGACTCTACCTGCTGTGTGGTGAGTGAGGCCAGAGGGGTATATGCAATAACAGTGACATAGATCTTAGGCGACAGCAGTAAAGAGCTTCCTGGAACTGAAAACTGAACACAAAAACACAGAGAAGAAATAAAAGTAAAGGCAAGAACATATCCATTCACGGGTTCCATTTTTGCACCTACAGTTAAGCCTGGTCCACGCAGCAATTTGGCTAAATGTACGTACTGCTCAACGCGACATATAGCACTTGTCAAAGCCTCAAGCCTGATCCAATGGGCCAACTACCCAGTGGCCAAGGGGCCTGCAAGTCCCAGCCAACCAGCCAACACAGGATTGAAAAGTGTTATTATTCAAGATGGCCGACTAACCAAGTCTGAGAATTTACAGTGCTGTTGACTGCCAAGTACCACATAATCGCAACAGCCAGAAAAAACGACTAATGGTGATGGATCTCTTACCGGCTTGACCAACCCCTGTAGACAGTTACTGATGCACCTGAAGAGATCTTGGAGACTAACTCGACCAGACTGGGCATCCTGGAGAACAGATGGGATATTGGGGCATGCTCAGTTACTGTAACTGCTGAAAATTTGCACAGTTTTTGGCACAAAACAACCAGTTCAATCATTCTTTGGTACTGCCCAATTAAAAGTCTCTCCACGAGTCTGGTACCCAGCCTGCATGCTTTTTATTTCGCTTCTATTCTCTGCATGAGTCAGAATCTAGACCACTAAATATTCTACCGCTTCAAAAAGTTTTACTCCTCAATGCTTCAGACTGAAACAAGAGGAAATCTCATAGAAAAACTGTACTCTAAACTTCACACTCAAGTTTCGAATTTGGTTTTTGAAACACTCAGGGTCTCATCTCTGCCTCCAGAAACTTTTAGAGAATTCATCTTGCTATAAGAGTGGGTACTTTTACTCTGATTATGCCTTGCATGCTTTCTCCGCACTTGAGGCTTTAGTCTGCCCAATCATGCGGCACTTACGACAGTGGCCATTGACGGACTGAGGTCCATCACTATAACGTGCCGATAGCGTCTGGCCAGGAAGGTCACATGACTGCTTGGAACCAACTTGTATCGGATTGGCACATCAGCTGGGAGTTTGTCTGGGCTGACTCTGGGAATGATGGACAAGACCTCAAGCTCTTCCTTGGAATTGATCTGTAAGGAAAACAGGAAATGCCGACAAATACACAAACAGCAACGTTACGTAGATTGTTTTAGCCAATTCTTGCTCTGACCCTAAACCCATCAAAAATCCACATGCAGTGCTTTGTCAATAATACTGCATAATTTTAGTTTTGGCACATTCAGGAAGTCTCCTCGCCAAATTGTTTTGGAAATTGCTTTTAAAATAACTGAAATATTTTGGCCACAATTGGTCACAGTAAAAATGGTGCATCCTAAAGATGGAATATTCTATTTCTTGTCTCTAGACTTTTTAAAAAATTTATCAACACTGCCTACCATTTTGTACGGGCTGCTACAGATTGCAGAAAGTTCATCCCTTGGCTTGCAAGGGGAAGCCATTTTCATGTAGCAGACCTATTATTTCCTATTACTCTAATAGTTGTGTGAGGTTTTGACTCTATGTTAATAAGTCTTCTTTTTTTGTTTTGGTGGCTAAAAACCTGAAACTGCACACGAGTCTAAATCAGTTTCTGTTTAATGTAAAGGATGTGAAATTCTGGCAAGGTCAAACTGTCCTCGCTCTATGAGCCCTGACCTAGACCAAGACAGGTCACAATTCTCCTAACAAGGGAGGCTCCTTTGGTGGGAACTGCACTTTGCTGGTTCACAGACAACGATGAAATGCATGAGGAACGGTCGCTTCATGAACAAAATAAACACTCCCCGCCAACATGGCTCTTTCCAACCAATGAGGGAATGTTTCTGCTCAAGGAGGAACAAGCTTGGATTAAATGACCCACAGTTGCTTGGCAACCCCAGCTGAAGAAAGTCTGATAAACAGTCAAAAGACAAGAACAAGAAGTCTACTCACCAGGTCTTGGTCAGACTTGACCTTGATTTCCTTGTTGAGATTTCCGAAGAACCAGGAGGCACGGATATTCCTGGAGATGCGATACTCCTCCTTCATAAGAAGATAAACCTCTCCCACCTCAAGCTCCTGTGGAAAGCAATGAAAACTGCAATATTTGTACAAGAGAATCATTCCATTTTTTTATTTACTTGAAAGTAACTCATTTAGAAATTTTTTAAAAATTTGCTTCCATTCCCGTTACAAAACCTAGACTAGATCTGAGAAAAAGGAACATGGAAAGCATCCATTTGTAGAGCCTATATAACCTTAGTCTCTGGTTTCATTTTCTTCAACATACATTGGAAAAATAGACCAATCGTGCCCACTAAGTCACGTGACCTAAAATGGGTATCAAACATCAGTAAACATAGCGTCTTCCATACCAAAGTGTGTTATAATTTTCATTCAACCAAAAATAAAGCCGACAGTTGATAAAGTACTCAGACTATTGATGTGCTCAGTACTATGACTATTAATGTACATACATGTATTATATTTGGTAAACAAAACTTATGACACACTTTGCTCTAGAAGGACCCAATTTCTATTGTTTGATAGGCCTACCCACCTATAGGTCATGTGACTTGGCAGGTACAATATCAGCCTATTGACTGATTCATGGTGTGATGGGCTAGTTTAATGTAAAACATAATTGACGAAAATTATTGGGAAGAGTTCCATATATGGACGCCAGTAGGCCTAATTATTCCCGACAGTGAACTAATCTTAGTAGCCATCAGAAAGCAAAAACATGTCCAGAAAAGTTCAATTTAGGAGGGAAACAACCGAGTCGTTCACTTAGAAACATGGGCGCCAATTGGTGGGGGACGGGGGTCATGTCCCCCTCCCACTTTTCCAAGTGGGGGATACTATATCACAATGTGTCCCCTTTACTTTTTTCCAAAACTTAGGAATAAAAATGAGCTTAATACCCCACCATCCCGCATCCCCATCAATCACATAGCCAGGTACAGGTCAACGTGTCACACTCCTCTCAAGGGATTTTCACCTTGTACCCACGTAATCAGTCATTCCAGGGGTCGTTTTTTAGAGTGGCGGGGTATTCTGCAATTACTCCTGAAAATGTATAGCTTGCAGAAGTTTTGGAAAAAAAGGGCTCAAGTACCAAAAATTGTCTCAGATCACACCAAAAACCTCTATACTCCAAAATTTTCCAGGGCCAGCTCAGAGCTTCATGCTTCGTGCTCGCATTTGTTCTGATCAGGGCAATTTTCCCCCACATTTTCAAAACGGATTGACGCCCTTGCATAGAAGATACCATGAAGATACTTAAAATTTTTCAGACCAGTCCCATAGGATTTGTGCACAGGGTGACAAGTGGCATCTGTAAGCCATCAGTATATGGAACTCTTTCCAAAATTAGAGAAGATGTCCATTTTTCAGATGGATATAACGTTAATGATATGTTCAATTCATCTTACATTACAGTTACATCTTACATTGACAGTATTGACATATCTGGCCTGCCATGGCTCAGATATTGCCCATCACACGCAAATGTAAACGTTGGGGTCCTAGTTTGGATAGGCCTAGGCCAGTATGCAGATAATGTACATCATGTATCTCATCTGACAAGTGACATGTAGCATAGGCCTACTCTGATCAGCTGAGCATAGCAGTGGTCACGAAAACTAATTTGGTTAATGCACTGCATGAAACCTACGATGAAGCCCTTGTCTCTCGTTTCTTGAGCCATCCTGTAGAATCTTGAGCTTTTCGTCAGCTGCTAGGGCCTATATACTTGTTGTCCATACGTGTAGTTGGGTTGCAGCCATGGCACAAAAACTTCAAGACCGACACTATGCGGGGAAGTCCTAGACGTTATTAATCTACGCATCCATCATTAATACGGGATCAGGTGAGTTGGTTTGGGTCCGAGTTGACTCGAAACCAATACGGGATCAGGTCAACTCGGACCCAAACCAACTCGGACCCATTCCAACTCGGACCCATGCCAACTCGGACCCAGGACCAACTCGGACCCACGCCAACTCGGACCCAATACTAACTCGGACCACCACCATCTCGGACCCACAACCAACTCGGACCCACGCCAACTCGGACCCACGCCGCTTCGGACCCACCTCGAGTCAACTCGAACCCACTGAGTCTTATGGTTGCATTACACCAAATACGTGCCCGTAGACCGAAATAGCGCTGACTCTTGAACCTCGCAAAGA